CATTAAAATCTGATTATTTTGGGTTTTTGTATAACACTGAGCTTTCAGCACTCTGAAATCATTAAAAAAGGCAGAGTACTTAATAAAATGAAGAGAAAGTCCATTTAATGACAAGTTAGACTGAATAGCTCTATTACTTAAAAAAAACAAAATGTTATAAATAGTGGGCCAAAACATCTAGTTTCTATCTGAACTAAAATATTAATTGGGATATATTTTTAACAAGTTAATACGTACAATAAGAAAATACAAAATTGGGCTGGGCGAGGTGACTCATCCTGCAATATCAGCACTTTGGAGGCCAACAAGAAGGTCAGGAATTTGAGACCAGCTTGGCCAACATGGTGAAACCCCATCTTTATCAACAATACAAAAATTAGCCGGGTGTCGTGGTGCATGTATGTATTCCCAGCTACTCAGGAGGCTGAGGCACGAGAATCACCTGAACCCGGGAGGCCAAGGTTTCAGTGAGCTGAGATCACCCCACTGCACTCCAGCCTGGGTAACAGAATGAGACTCTGTTTCAAAAAAAAAGAAGGAAGGAAAGAAAATATGAAATTGAAATCAAAGAATCAAAAGACGTGATTTTTTAATAAAAGACAAAAAAATGATGTGTGTCAGCTGATCTAATTAGATAGTACACACACACATACTTTAAAAGCAAACTTTTTATCTAGTTACTCTGTTAACCTGATTACTTTGCTCTTGGGCAGAGCATTCCCCAACCCTCATCACATTTTCTTGGCTAGAGTACAAATTCGAAGTGGAACTTCAGTGGGTCTTATGCAAAACTTATCAGATTTCATGAACAATGGCACAAATCTTTTATGTTTATATATTCTTATAAGTCACGAACTGGTGGCTCATAAGCTCCAAACAGGTCACAGAATGTACTATTTGCTTCATATAATGCTTGTAAAAATTCTGAATTTGTTACCAATACTTAATATTTGGAAAGACATAAAAATCCACAGTTCCAACTGCCCTTGAATATATGGGTTCTGGAACATGGGGCCCACATTCCCACATGACAACAATTGGGTAGAGTTGAGCTTTGAATTAAATTTAAATAGGGACATGACTCTCCTGTTTGCCACAGTGTCCCCCTAGGGGGTCCAATGAACTCTTTCATGTTACTTACTTGGCTTTTGTAGGCACTGAAGTTTGAAATGTCTAATATGTGAGTTTGTGTGTGTTATGCATGTGTGTGTTTATAAATGTGTATTAATACAATTGGCCCTGCACGTTCCACATCTGTGGGTTCAAACAACCACAGATAGAAAATATAAAACAAAGGCCGGGTACAATGGCTCATGCCTGTAATCCCAGTACTTTGGGAGGCTAAGGTGGGTGGATCACTTAAGATTAGGAGCTTGAGACCATTCTGGCCGACATGGTGAAACATCATCCCTACTAAAAATACAAAAATTAGTTGGGTGTTGTGGTGCATGCCTGTAGTCCCAGCTACTCAGGAGGCTGAGGCAAGAGAATCACTTGAATCCAGGAGGTGGAGGTTGCAGCAGTTGGCTGAGATCGTGCCACTGCACTCCAGCCTGGGCGACAGAATGAGACTCTGTCTTAACAACAAAATACCGGGGAAAAAAAAAAACATTCTTTTAAAAAAAAAAAAAAAAAAAAAAAAAAAAAAGAAAGAAAATATAAAACAAAAAATCCAACCCCCTATAACAAAACAATAAAAATAATAAAAACCAATATAGTATAACAACTATTTGCATAGTTGTTACATTTTATTAGGTATTATAAATAATCTAGAGATGATTTGAAGGATGGGAGGATGTGTGTAGGTTATATGCAAATAATATTCCATTTTATATAAGGAACTTGAGCATCTGTGGATTCTGATATCCATGGTGATGCTGGAGCTAATCCCCTGCAGATATTGAGGGATAGCTATGTTGTATGTATATGTACACACACACACACACACATACGTCTTTTTGATTCTGTGATCCTGTGATCACATACGTATATACATACACACACACACACACACACGTAGAGTAAAAATAGTTAATCAGGATGATGTATCCAGAAAAAGCCACTTGAGAGCAAGGTGTATGTATAGTATAAATGTCTTAAAATAATTACAAATTAACTATAAGAAACATCTAGTTCACTACATTTAAAAAACAAAAAAAGCAGAGGCTTGGAAAGCTGTATTCACAGTGAAGGGCTCGAATGAGATTATAGATTATGTCTCCAAGTCTACTCCTTAAATGATAGATAGCTAGGATACTAATTTAAGAAAATTTATTGAAGACAAAATGTCCAATGACCTACCAGGTGATACTCCCAAGACTTCAAACACTTATCTGTTATTAATTCACCGAGTATTAGAGAAACTCTCTATGACTTGACAGTTATGAAGCTAAAAGATAATTTTATGTACAATAAGAGATAATTTTGTGTACAGTGAAGATCGCTGCTAAGTTATATTTAACTATGTATGACAAAAATGATCAATAGAATAATCAAAATAAAAAAAGATTATTAGTGAATATGATGTCATGTAAGACCACTTGCTATCTAGTGAAATATAGCCTAAACATAGTAAGTATTAAAATAAACACATAACTATAACATTATAAAAACTTTCACATGTATGACCTTATTTGTTCTTCACAAATCCCCACAAAGCAGATACTATCCTATTTTACAGATGATAACCCTGAGGGAAAGACAGCACTCCAATGTTTACAGATCAGGGAGGTAGGGAAAAATCATCGAAGGAGACTTGAGAAGAAGAAAATACTGGAAAGAAAACCAGGTGAGTATGGTATCCTGGAAGTCAAGTGAAAAATCATTGTTTCAAGGAGGAAAGAGTGTTCAGCTCTAGCAAATGTAATAGGTTGGATGACACAGGCACTGATCACTGGAGTGAGAAATGTGAATGCTATTTGTGGCCACAATAAGAACATTTTTGGAGAAGCTGTGGAGGTGAAAATCTACAGTGAGTTCAAGAGTGAATCAGGGCTGAGTGTGGTGACTCACATTTGTAATCCCAGGCTTCAGAGGCTGTGTTGTGAGGATCAATTAAGCACAGGAATTTGAGGCCAGCCTGGGCAACACAGTGAGACCCTGTCTCCACAAAATTAAAAAAAATTAGCCAAGCATGGTGGTACAGGTCTGCAGTCCCTGTTGCTTGGGAGGCTGAGGTGAGAGGATCACTTGAGTGTGGGAGAATCAAGACTGCAGTAAACGGTGATAGTGTCTCTGCATTCCAGCCTAGGTAACAAATGAAGACCCTGTCTTAAAAAACAAACAAACAAACAAACAAACAAAGAGTGAACCAGAGGAGAGGTATTAGATAGAATCAGAACAAAAAATTTTCCAAGTGTTTTTCTGTAGATGGAAGGAAAAAATGGAGGAACTGGATCAAGGGAGAAGTGAGGAAAGAAGAGGGCTTTTGCTTAGTGTTCTTAGGATGGGAAAGATAGCAGCATATCAGCAGGCTGAAGAGAGGAACCCAGTGGAGAAGAAGAAATTGATGATGCAGTAGAAGGGAGAACTGCTGGAATAATATCCCCAAGGAGGTAAGAAGGGATGGGATCTGAGGCACAAGTGGGAAAACTGGTTTAGTCAGGAGTTCATGGCAACAGCAGAGAAGGTAAAGTACGTGAGCCTAGATGCAGAAGGACAGCAGATGTGGTGGCAAGACGTTGTGATATTTTCTTCTCATGGCTTCCATTTTCTCAGCTGAATGACAGTAAGCTGAGAATGAAGATGGAGGAGACAGAGCTAAATTCTTGACATTATTAAAGGCCCTCTAACACCATAAGTTTAATTATTTATTTACTTACATTTATTTATTTTGAGATGGAATCTCACTATGTCATTCAGGCTGGAGTGCAGTGGCATCATCTGGGTTCCCTGCAACCTCCACCTCCAAGGTTCAAGTGATTCTCCTACCTCAGCCTCCCAAGTAGTTGGGACTACAGGCATGCGTCACCACTAATTTTTGCCCAGCTATAATTTTGTATTTTTAGTAGAGATAGGGTTTTGCCATGTTTGCCAGGCTGGTCTTGATCTTCTGGCCTCAAGTGATGTGCTTGCCTCGGTCTCCCAAAGTGCTTGGATTACATGCACGAGCCAACATCCCCGGGCCTTAATGCCTTGAATTTAAAGGCTGAGTATTCCACAGCTATATTCAGATACAAAAGTATAGGTGCTAGAGAAATCAGAGTTGTTATTAACCACAATAATGGTTTTACCAAGTTGGGTAGGAGGAGGCACAGGACCTAATGGTGGAAGCAATGATTGGGATAATGGGATAATGACACATAAGACAGATTAGGAGGAAAGAGAGGACATGAAGGGGGAGAGCAACAGTGAAAAGTCTTAAGTCAAACTGACAGTCCTGGTGAGATCAAAGGATTGCTGGAGTTGAAGTGCTACAGGGAGTGAACTGGAAGGAAAAGAGGAGGTGGACAGATGGGTGTCTGAAGTGAGTTTATGGAAAGGCAGTAGTTAATAATTAGGTTAAGAGATTATTAATAATCAGGTTACTGTTAATAATTAGGTTAAGAGATTAAACATGGGAGAGAATTAGTGAGGTAGAGAATACCTAGAAGAGTCTGCCTTCAAAATATAAACCCCATAAAAGTCTGCATTTTGATCTAGTAATTAAAATGTTTAGTTTGGAGCTGGGCACAGTGGCTTACATTTGTAATTCCAGTGACTTGGCAGGCTGAGGTAGGAGGATTGCTTGAGGACAGGTATGAGACCACTCTAGGCAACATAGCAATACTATCTCTCTCAAAAAAAAAAAAAAAAAAAAAAAAAAAAAAAAAAAAATTAGCTGGCTGCAGTGCACACCTGTAGTCTCAGCTACAAAATTAAGGCCAGAGGATTGCTTGAGCCCAGGAATTTTAGGCTGTAGCGGGTTATGATCATACCACTGCACTCCAGCCTGGGCAACTGAGACTGTATTAAAAAAATAAAAAAATAAAATAAAACGTTTAGTTTTAGATCAGTCTTACCTTAGCAATGCAAGCTGGACAAAACCAGTCTCCATCTGGGATTGTTGTAATCTTGGGTCTATGGCAGTATGTATGACAGCCTTTGTCACAACCATCACAAAGAAGAAGCAGTTCTTCATTATCTCCCTTTCGACAGATTTGGCAGTACTATAATACATGAAAAATCATTTAAAATTAACCCTCTGCTATGAATAATAGTTATTGGGATGTTAAACACACCATAATTCCTATTTTATATTAGTGATGAACATTCATTCCGCTTGCTAACAAATATACAGTAGCCATACACATCTATGTATCTTTCGTTACACAGATATGGACCACATGACGGGTGAGCAGTTCTATTGGGGTAAATGCACATTTCAAGTACACTGCAAAGAACAAAGCTAGAGGCAGGATGCCTGCACACACTTCAGAAGCATGTACACATTAACATATGAAATAATTAACATGACATTAGAGCACATAAAGCAATGAATAGCTTTAATACATGGTGTTTTATTTGTTTAATGTGCTTCATCTTTTGCTTATCTTAGAGCCTCCTCATGATATCCTGAGAAAGAAATAAGAGTTAGAGTAATTTTTAGAATCAAAATTAGCAAAGTTGTATTAGTATAATTAAGTATAATAAAAAGATAACCCTAGATTTTTGACTAATTCATCTATGTTTTGTGATAGATGGGAACATGTGTTCAAACCAGGAAACTTTGAAACTCAACCCAAATCAAACATGTGTCACAAGTGCAGAAAAGGGATTCTACAAAATAGTTTCTAAAGAAAAAAAGATACATTGAAGAAATTAAGAGGTCATCATTTATTTTTTAGAATTAAAAATAAAACTGTTTTCTACTGAAAATTTTCTAATAAAATTAAAAACTTTAAATCTGCAAAGAGAAGACTTCCATGTTCACATATTCTGTATATTAAGTTTTGCAAAGGAAAGAAGAAAAGTTAGACAAGTAAAAACTTTCAAGATGGCTTTAAAAAATGGTAAGCACTAACATTATTTTTTTGACATTTAGTTCATATTCCAGTCACAAAAGAAAATGTCCTGCAATCAATATTTTTAAAAATGAAAACATTTAACAAGAAATCATTTAAACTACTTTAAAGTTAGGTATTTATATGCTCTTAAAAACAAAATAGAGTAACTGTTCAAACTTACTTTAATTTTCAATGCAACATTTTATCTTAGTCTGGGAAAGTATAAAATGGTCTTCTGATCTAACTTAGTATGTATATCAATTATAGTTTTAGAATCTTATCTAAACAGCAGATACGCACTATTCAAGTTAACAAATATTTATCAAATGTATATATTATATATTTCATATTAAAATTGGCATGGTTACCAAGAGCAAAAGCAGCAGAGTTTAACATTCCAACAATCAGTATCTATTCTATGACCTTTTCTAACATCACCATCACTGAATACCTTAAGGCGGTGTTATTTCTCCATACTTGAATTACATCGTTACAACTTCTATTGTGAAAATATTCACTGAGAGATAACAATTGCAAGGTTATATTTATATCCCTATAACAACACAATTTAAAAAGCAGTTTCATGAATGTAAGTAAATACTCATTGTTTTCTCTACTAGGCAACTAAAAATACTACAAGGTCTGTCTTACATTTCATACTTAGGATTTAAAAATAAAATTATTTTCTGATACTTTTAAAGAAAGGGTGACAGATATCAAACTCATAACAATTTTAAAAAATTACAGTAACAGCTCACAGTGTTATGGTAAATATATTAATATTTGGTTTTAATTCCTTTGCTGCTACAGTAAAAAGCAGTGGATGCTGCCTATTGTTTAATGACAATATAAAGCATACTGTGGGTAGAGAATTATCTGGAGGCAAATTATAACAACTCCCTCTTTTTCTTGGTAAGCTTGGTTTTTGTTCAACAGGGTATTTCTAAAGATATTGAGCACTTTAATATTTTGTTAGGAATTACTATGAGAATTATTATAGGCACTGTTACGTCCTAAAGGTTATAAAGTGCTTCTTAATCTTTGAATATGAAACACTGCCTTCTTTTCAAGGTAGTTTCACAGTTAAAAAAATGTATTATTAAGCATTTGAAAAATGAAATGAAGATTGTGAGAGATGGAGCTAAATGATAATAAGTGTATATGAAGAACAGGGAAAGGTGAATGGATCTGCAAAAATGGAAATAAAGCTTTACATTGCAGAATTTAAATACCTCAATATAAAAGCAGGTTTTGATACAAGTTTTAGGTTTCTGTGTATAAGTTTATAATAAAACTGAACACATCATGATGATTGCTTTGATGTAGATGAGAAAAAAATATAACTACAAATTTCATTTTGATCTAGGACTTAATCTTTTTTTTTTCAATGTTATTTACAGACAAGGTCTCATTATGTTGCCCAGACTATAGTGCAGTGGCTATTCTCAAGCGTGATTATCGCACACTACAGCCTTGAACTCTTGGGCTCAAGCGATCAGCCTGCCTTGGCTTCTGGAGTAGCTGGGACTACTGGCATGCACCACCATACCTGGCAAGAACTCAGTTTCAGTCTCTCTCTCTCTTTTTAAAAAAAATCATTATTGTCTAGATCTTACCAAATATACTGTCTAAGGTGACTTTAAAGTTGGTTTCAATAATAATTTTTAGAAGAAAAAAAATCTGTACCTGGTAAAAATGCTATTAAATGAATCGAACAGTGCTTTAAAATTTAGAGTAAATTCCGGGCCAAGTGCAGTGGGTCATACCTGTAATCCCAGCACTTTGGGAGGCCAAGGCAGGTGGGTGGATCATTTGAGTTCAGGAGTTTGAGACCAGCCTGGCCAACATGGTGAAACACTGTCTACTGAAAATACAAAAATTAGCTGGGCATGGTGGTGCATGCCTGTAATTCCAGCTGCTCAGTAGGCTGAGGCAGGAGAATCACTTGAACCCAGGAGAACAAGGTAGCAGAGAGCTGAAATTGTGCTACTGCATTCCAGCCTCGGCAACAGAGACTCCGTCTCAAAAAAAAAAAAAAAATTATTGTAAATTCCAATCTGAATTGAGAAAGACCTGTATTGGAGCACATTGTGAAATGCAGATTCATTATTTCATACATATTTTAGGAAACAGTGAAAAACCATAGAAGAAACATAATTTATTTGTGTGGAATTAATAAGGACTTGAGTAGTTGAAGCATAAAGGTAAAAATGAAACAAAGAATGCTCAGTTATTTAACAATCACTTCTTCAGGAAAACAACTATTTTAAGTAAAGGAATTTCACCTTTAGTCCTTCATGAAAAGGAATCTCAAATGTTTACATTTTAAAGCTAGTCTGTCATTCAAAAGTAAATGGTGGTCAGGTGCAGTGACTCATGCCTGTAATCTCAGCACTTTGGGAGGCCTAGGCAGGTGGATCACCTGAAGTCAGGAGTTTGAGACCAGCTGTGCCAACATGGTAAAACCCCATCTCTTCTAAAAATACAAAAATTAGCTGGGCATGGTGGCGGGTGCCTGTAATCCCAACTACTCAGGAGGCTGAGGCAGGAGAATCACTTGAACCCAGTAGGCGGAGGTTGCAGTGAGCTGAGATTATGCCACTGCATTCCAGCCTCAGTGACAGAGCAAGACTCTGTCTCAAAAAAGAGAAAAAAAAGTAAATGTTAAAGTAATTCCTAAAAGACTACATATAATAGATACTTCTATATATGATATATAAAAGAGACAAGAGGGACACTTGTACATGATTTAAAATAAATATTTCTCTGGAAAACATGAATTATGGCTCTTTATTTTGAACACACAGCATTTTGGTGCCTGGTACAAAATAGAGATTTACTACATGATAAGCTAATTGGGCTTATAGAAAGGTGAAAAACCAGTTTTAATTAGTAGAGGAAAGACTAAAGGATCTACTATTCATGTTAACCACATCCGACGCCAAACACATAAACTAATAGTTCCCTGCTTATTTTGTATGTACTTATCTAAGTGCTCCTTAGAATTAAAAAATGAAAATTGATAGAAAAAGATGTTTTAGCAATGCAGTAATATAGCAGGTAATGTTAACAATGGAACTGTTTACAAGAATGAAACGGCCTTCAAGATTTAGATTAACAACTATTATGCTGACGGAATATAGGAGACAACTTCAGTTAGAGTTATAAACAATATTCAAAGGAGGCAGAAGCAAGATTTTAACAAATAAAAGATAACACATTTGAAAGCTTCCTTCAGTAAGGAGGAAAGTATTAAAAATCTTTTAGAATTAGAAAAACTCTCAAGTATAGCATACATTATTATGACAATAGGTAATGTACAATTAAGAAAGATCTGGAGGTTGGAAGAAACAGGACAAAGTAAATTAGTTATAGTATTTCTTAAATAAAAACACTTACAACTTTCATAATTGATTTTTCCCATGCTATTGATTTCTGTAATTGCTGAATGCACAGAGCTACCTGTGCAGCACTGCGAGCTTCTGATAATGCCCTTCTCCATACCCTGAGCCCTGGAGCAATATCCTCTTCAATTCTGCATTGAAATATAGAAAAATTAAGTAGGTCATGTCCACACTTATGATTACTGAATGTGAAACAATCATCACACTGAAAGCCAAGCAATGACAAAAACATGTAACAGCCAATAAGTATAAGGTTTAAGCAACTAAATTTGATGTAGTGCACAGACTGTGGCTACGTGCCTCAAAGCTTAGTCACAACCAGGTAAATGTAAGATCACTTTGCAGGATTATCAACGCACATAACAAAAAAAAAAAAAGTTTTTACAAAGCACCATGCAAATAGCATGATCCATATGGATCACAGACATACAAGAAGATACATAGATAACAGGCAATAGAAAATAGGCTCCAATTAGCAAAGAAGCACAATAATTTTTCAAGTTAATCTCAATAACCTACCCGTCACCATCACCACTAATGGATGGTGCAGGAGCAGGGACAGTAACTGTGCCCACATTATCCAGTTTGATCTGAATGGTGGTACTTAAGGGGCTCTTCAGATACCTTCTTTCAATGTTCCGCTCCAAATCAGCCAGCCTGGTTACAGCTATATCTAGGGGGTTGTCACTCTTCCGTTCCAGTGCATGTGCACTGTTTTCTTCTTCGCCAGTAAATTCTCCATCACGCTCCTTGCACAATTTAGTAAATGACTTATGTTCAAAATATACCAAGTCCTCCCTTTCTGATGCAGGCTCTGGACACATCCAACCCTATATATCAAGAGAATACTGTTATTATGATTTCCTCTTAAAATGCCAGATGGGTGAATTACCTTTACTTAAAATACAGTATTGGATACTGGCAGATCTCAAGGATCTTTACTAAAAGCTTTTACACCTGTGTTTCCTAAAACTAGATAGAAATAAGAATAAAAAATTAAAAGAAATAGTTGTAAGAAAAATCTGAAAAATAAAATTTATAAACTTTTGCTATTATGAAAGGTATGAAAAAAATCAGCAAAATATTTTGTAAGATTTTAGGCTAGGCCAGGCGCGGTGGCTCAAGCCTGTAATCCCAGCACGTTGGGAGGCCGAGGTGGGTGGATCACGAGGTCAAGAGATCGAGACCATCCTGGCCAACATGGTGAAACCCCGTCTCTACTAAAAATACAAAACATTAGCTGGGCTTGGTGGTGCGTGCCTGTAATCCCAGCTACTCAGGAGGCTGAGGCAGGCTCCTTGTCCTGACCCCAGGGGGCGGAGGTTGCGGTGAGCCGAGATCCCGCCATTGCACTCCAGCCTGGGTAACAAGAGTGAAACTCCGTCTCAAAAAAAAAAAAAAAAAAGATTTTAGGCTAAAATGCTTATCAGTTTCATGGGCTCACTTAAATGGAAATGTCTGGGTAGCCTCTGAGCTTTGCTCTTCCCTTCTGTTTTCATCCTTCCACTATTCTTCTGTACAGGTCCTTCTGTGTTCAACATTTTTCCTTTGACTGCAGAGGCTTCGTATATGCTATTACCTTTATTGCTTTTCCGTGCTCCCCTTCATCTAGTTAATGCCACTCATTTTGTAGCTCTCATGTTAAGATTCACTTCAACATGAAAGGATCCCCGATAGAAATCCTTTCCTGACCTCTTTCAGGAGCTAAGTCCCTCTCTGACAGGTTCTCAAGACCATGCTCCTTAGCCTTGTGATAAATGCAATTTTATACTAGTGTAATTATTTGATGAATACTTTTCTACTTCTAAATTCCATGAGGGCAGGGACTATGTCTGCTTTTACTCATTTATCTCCAGTACAGTGCCGGCAAACAATGGGCACTCAATACATATATCTTGATTGTAGCTTAAAATCCTTCAAAGATTTCCTATTCTTTAGCAAATGTTTGCCATAGCATTCAAGTACCTCAATCTATCCCCTTTGATGTTCCCATTCACAAACCTTATGTTGCAGTTAAATTCTATAACTTGCTATTCCACAAACACAGGATAAGCTTCCCAATCCTTGCACTCTGTGCATGCTATTCCCACTTCCTAGTATGATATTCCCTAGTCTCTGACTGTCCAAACCATACTCATTTTCTTAAGTTACATTTAAACTTCTACATGAAATCTTCCAAGATCTCTTCCATATCTCTGCCAGAAGTCAGTATTCTTTTTCTAAATTAATGCATTACTCTGTTCTCAACAATCAGTTACTAGATTCTGCATATGTATACATCTTATCTCCCTATTACATGACAAGCTTTCTGATGGTAGGAATAACATTTTATCCAATTTTTGGTGTCCACTGCCTGAGATGAAATAGGTATTAAATAAATGCATATTAAATAAGAAACAATAAACGTAAACAACTCTTCAGATATAATTATTTTATCTTATATACTAGGATCAGTTCTTCCCCTTTAACTCAGTAGAATATTTATATTTAGAAAGGAAGGATGGACTCTAAAACAGTGGCACAGATGCAAGCTGGCTTCACTTCCTGCCCCCACTGACCCCCTGACCCTGCCGCCAACCACCTAGAAAACTAAAACCAAACATAAGGCACTGAGATGATCACCAGCGATATCCTAAAATTGAAACATGAGGATGAGACAGTTCCTGGGGCAAGAGAGAAGTGAAAAATCTCTGAGCAGATGGTAAGAGAATTAAACTTCCACATCCACAATGCCTCTCTACCCTCATTCTGCTGGGTACTAAGCACACAGAAAATTTCCCCCCAACTCACAATTTCTACACTGAAAAAAGCAAGATCAAGGTAGACAATCAACTTATCCACTATGAAAAACAGTGTGACAGTTCCTCAAAAATCTAAAAATATAACCACCATATGATCTAGCAATTCCATTAGTGGATATACAGAGAAAATAATGAAAATCAATATATGGAAGAGATATTCGTACTCCCATATTTACTGCAGCAATATTCACAATAGTTAAAATACGGAATCAACCTAAATGCTCATCAACAGATGAACGAATTAAAAAATGCACTATGTTTACAGGACAGAATATTATTTAGTCATAAAGAAGAATGAAATCCTGTCATTTGCAACAACATGTATGGAACTGGAGGACATTATGCTGGGTGAAATAAGCCAGATACAGAAAGACAAATTATCATATGTTCTCACTCATATGTGAGAACTAAAAAAGCTACTTTACTCTAGAATGTAGAGAGTAGATTGGTGGTTACTAGAGGCTGAGAAGGGTAGGAAGAGAGGGAGATTCAGAGAAATTGATTAATGGGTACAAATACATGGTTTGATAGAAAAAAATAGGAAAATATATAAAGACAATTTGACAAAATCAGGAAAACAATTCATGATTTGAATGAGAAAAATCGAAAAAGAAACAGATATAAAAAAGAACCAAACAGAAGTTCTAGAGCTAAATAATTCAATGAATAAAATAAGAAATACAAGACTAGACCAAAAATACAGACTAGACCAAGGAGAAGAAAGAATTTCTGAACCCGAAGACATGTCTTTTGAAATAACACAGGCAGGCCAAGGGGGGATAAAAAAGAAACAAAGGAACACAAAGAAAAAGGAAAAAAGAAAGAAAAAGCCTATAGGATTTATGGGACACCATTAAGCAAACACATATTCTTGTGGGTGTTACAGAAGGTAAAGAGAAAAGGTGAGGAAAACAAATTTAATGAAATAATAGCAGAAAACTTCCCATGTCTTGGGAGAAAGATGAAAATTCAGGTCTAGGAAGCTCAAAGAATCCCAAGAAATTCAACGCAAACAGATCCTCTCTGAGGCACATTATAGTCAGCCTATAAGAAGTCAAAAGACAAAGAATTCTGAAAACATTAAGAGAAAACTGTCAAGTCACATATAAGGAAATCTCCATTAGACTAACAGAAGATTTCTCAGCAGAGAGAGAATGGGATGATATATTCAAAGTAGTGAGAGAAAAAACCCTGCCAGCCAAGAATTTTATACCCAGCAAAGCTAGCTTTCGGAAATGAAGGAGGAAAAAAGTCTTACAGACTGAGGGAAACTGAAGGAATTCATCACCACTAGGCTGGACCTGTAAGAAATGCTCAAGTAGTCTTATGTCTGAAAGTACAAAGATGATAATCACCATCATGAAAAAATACTATAGAACTCTCTGGGAAAGCTAATACATAAAGGAGAAAGAGAAAGAAAGAAAATTATTACACACATAATCTTAAAAAGCCTGATGATAAACAGTATCCCTATAGAAAAAAACCCAGCCAAAACAATATGCAATAAGCAAGGAAGTAAGGAACAAAAGATTGTGGAAAACAATTGAAAAGCCATCAGTAAATTGATAGGAGTAAGCACTCACCTATCAGTAGTAACCCTGAACGTAAATTAATTAAATTTCCCATTTAAAAGACATAGACTGGCTGGCTGGATTAAAAAAAAAAAAAACAATGCCCAACTATATGCTGCCTAGAAGAAACTCCCCTCACCTGTAAGAGATATGAAGACTGAAAGTGAATGGATGGATAGAAATATCTCATGCAAATGAAAACCAGAAGTGCATAGGAATAGGTATGCTTACATCAGATTAAAAAAAAAAAAACCCTTCAAGTTAAAAGCTATAAAAAGAGGCAAAGAAGGACATTATATAACAAAGGGATCAATTCAACAAGAGAATATAATAATTATAAATATATATGCACTCAATACCAGAGCACTCAGATATATAAAGCAAATATTATTAGATCCAAATGTAGAGGTAGATCCTAATATTATAATGGCTGGAGATTTCTCCATTCCACTCTCAGTACTGGATAGATTTTCTAGACAGAAAATCAACAAAGAAACATCGAATTCAATCTGCACCATAGACCAAATGTACACTTATAGAACATTTCATCCACCAGCTGCAGAATACACGTTCATTTCATCAGCACATGGAACATATGCCAGGACTGACCATACGTTAAGTCTCAAATCTCAAAAAATTTAAAAAATTTGAAATCATATCAAGTATTTTTTCTGACTACATGGAAAAAAACTACAACAACAAGAGGAACATTTAAAACTACACAAATACATGAAACTTAAACAACATGGTCCTGAACAACCAATGGTAAAGGAAGAAATTAAGAATGAAATTTTAAAATTTCTTGAAATACATGAAAATATAAACACAACATTCCAAAACATATGGGACACAGCAAAAGCAGTCTTAAGAGGCAAGTTTATATCAATAAATGCCTACATCAATAAAGTAGAAAGATTTCAAGTAAACAATCTAGCAATGCCCTTCAAGGAACTAGAAATGTAAGAACAAACCAAACCCAAAGTTAGTAGAAGGAAAGAAACAATAAGGATCAAAGCAGAAATAAACAAAATTGAGACAAAAATACAAAAGATCAATGAAACAAAAAGCTACTTTTCCTAACAATAAAATACTTAGGAATGCAGCCAACCAGGGTGGTGAAAGATCTCTACAATGAGAATTACATAACACTGCTCGAAGAAATCAGAGATGACACAGATGGAAAAACATCCCATGCCTATAGATAGGAAGAATCAATATCATTAAAATGGCCATACTGCCCAAAGCAATTTACAGATTCAATGCTATTCCTATCAAATGACCAATGACATTCTTCACAGAACTAGAAAAAACTATTTAAAAATTCGTATAGAACCAAAAAAGAGCCCAAACAGCCATGGAAACTCTGCCTCCTGGGCTCAAGCCTTTCTCCAACCTCAACCTGTCAAGTAGCTGGGACTACAGGCACGTACCACCATACCCAGCTAATTTTTGTATTTTTTTGTAGAGATGGAGTTTTGTCATGTTGCCCGGGCTGGTCTCAAACTCCTGAGCTCAAGTGATCTTCTCACCTCAGCCTCCCAAAGTTCTAGGGTTACAGGCATGAGCCAATGTGTCCGGCCTTGGCAGCATTTTGATACATGAACAACAAATTTTTGCTGAAGAAGAAATCAAGAAGGCAATCCCATTTACAATAGATAACAAACAAACAAACAAAAACTAAAACAAAAACCCAACTCTAGGAGTGAATTTTAACCAAAGAAGTGAAAGACCTCTACAAGGAAAACTATAAAACACTGATGAAAAAAACTGGAGAGGATAAGAGGATACAACCATGCTTATGGATCAGAAGAATCAATATTGTTAAAATGACAATACTACCTAATGGAATCTACAGATTCAACACAATCCCTATCAAAACACTAATGACATTCTTCACAGCAATAAAGAAAAAATATTAAACTTTGTGTGGAATTACAAAAGACTCTGAATAGCTAAAGCAATCCTGTGCAACAAGAACAAAGCTGGAGTTACCAGACTACCATGGCCTCAAAATAAAACTACAAAGCTGTAGTAACCAGAACAGCATGGTACTGGCATAAAAATGGACACATAGACCAATGGAATAGAATAGAAAACCCAGAATGCCGGGCATGGTGGCTCACACTTGTAATCTCAGCACTTTGTGAGGCTGAGGTGGGCAGATCATGAGGTTAGGAGATCAAGGCTATCCTGGCCACGGTGAAACCTGTCTTTATTAAAATACAAAAATTAGCCGGGTATGGTGGTGCATGCCTGTAACCCCAGCTACTCAGGAGGCTGAGGCAGGAGAATTGCTTGAACCTGGGAGGTGGAGGTTGCAGTGAGCTGAGATCACACCATTGCACTACAGTCTGAGCAACACAGTGAGACTCTGTCTCAAAAAAAAACCCCAGAAATTAATCCGCAACTCTACAACCCATCTGCTTTTTAACAAAGGTGCCAAGAATGCTCATTGTGAAAATAGTCTCTTCAATAAATGGTGCTAGGAAAACTGGATATCCATATGCAGAGGAATGAAACTAGATCCCCATCTCTTATCCTATACAAAAATCAACTCAAATAGATGAAAGACCTAATGGAAGATCCCAAATGATAAAACTACTAGAAGAAATAGGACATTGGTCTGGGAAAACATTTGATATATAAAACCTCAAAAGCACAGGTAACAGAAGCAAAAATAAACAAATGTGATTATATTAAATGAAAAAACTTCTGTACAGCAAAGGAAAAATTCAAGAGTGAAAAGAAAACCCACAGAATGGGATAAAACATTTGCAAATAATTCATCTGCAAGGAGATGAATATCCAGGATATACAAGGAACTCAAACATCTTAACAGCAGAGAAACAATCTGATTAAAAATGGGCAAGTGATCTAAACAGACATTTCACAAAAGAAGACATATACGTGGCCTACAAATATATGTAAAAATGCCCAACATCACTATTCATCAGGGAAATGCAAATTAAAACCACAATGAGATATTATCTCACCCCAGTTAGAATGGCTATTATCAAAAAGAAAAAAAAAATGAGATGCTGGTAAGAATGCATAGAAAAGGGAACTCTTACATACTGTTGGTGGGAATATAAACTAGTACAGCCACTGTGGAGAACAGTATGTAGGTTCCTCAAGAAACTATGAATAGAACTATCACATGATCCAGCAACCTACTACTGGGAATTTATCCAAAGGAAAAGAAAATTGTTGTAATGAAGAGACATGTTTACTGCAGCACTATTCAAAATAGTTAAAATACAGAATGAATCCAGGTGTTCAACAACAGATGAATGGATAAAGAAAATGTGGCATATATATACAACAGAATATGATACAACCATAAAAAGAATGAAATATCCTGTCATTAGAGGCAACATGGATGGAACTGGAGGACATTATTTTAAGTGAAATAAGCCAGGCACACACAAAGTTAAACACTGTATGTTCTCACTCATGTGGAAGCTTAAAAGAAAAGCTGATCTCCTAGAAGTAAAAAGTAGAGCAGAGGATATTAGAGACTGGGAAAAATAGGGGTAGGGAGGCATAAAGAGAGATTTGTTAAAGAATACAAAATTACTGGTAGGTAGATAGAAGTTCTAGTGCTCTATACTGTAGGATGACTATAGTTAATAATATGTTTTTTCAAATAGCTAGAGGAGGATATTGAGTATTCTTAACAGAAAAAAAATGGTAGATGTTTGAGATAATAAATATGCTAATTACTCTGATCTGATCACTATACGTTATATGTACCAAAACATTACCATGTACTCCATGATACTGTACATTATTATTTATGAATTTAAAACAATTTATAAAGCAAATTTTACTTATCTTCGCTACTGAGAACACAGCCAAGAACATTGAGCAGCCAGCAATGTGATAAGGTCAATGGAGCAAAATCTGAGTATGTCACCAGGAAAATGTTTCAGGCCCACAGTCTGATTTTACACATAATTTCTAAAAGGCTGATGATATACTTTCCCAACCAACAGTCAATTAGAATTGGCAAATGAGATGGGAAAAAGCTGGAGGAAAATAAGGCTTGTGGAACCAATTAAATTTAAACCAGCAAGTAGCAACAACTGACAAACTGAGAGGACAACCACAGACTACAGAAAGCAGATGTAACAGTTTTAAAAGCAAAGCACAGGCCGGGCGCGGTGGCTCAAGCCTGTAATCCCAGCACTTTGGGAGGCCGAGGCGGGTGGATCATGAGGTCAAGAGATCGAGACCATCCTGGTCAACATGGTGAAACCCTGTCTCTACTAAAAATACAAAAAATTAGCTGGGCACGGTGGTGTGTGCCTGTAATCCCAGCTACTCAGGAGGCTGAGGCAGGAGAATTGCCTTGAACCCAGGAGGCGGAGGTTGCGATGAGCCGAGATCGCGCCATTGCACTCCAGCCTGGGTAACAAGAGTGAAACGCCGTCTCAAGAAAAAAAAAAAAAAAAAGCAAAACACATTTAGGTTAGGGGCAAAACCTCTTCTCCTTTCCTGAGGGAATTATTGTCTAATAATTGGTCTTCAAACTGAAGCTCCTGTGTCACCAGGATAATTTAAATTAGTCATTATTTTCCGTTTAAGAAGGCGGTGACATGTGTAATATAAGTATTCCAAAAACATGTTAAAAAATTATAGCACTAAATGGAGTAATTTTCATTTCTCCAGAAAATAAAATAGTGTGAAAGGGTTCATTTGTTGAAGATGCTAGATAGATGAGAATACATGAGGCACTTTTACACTGTATTCTAGTACCAGGGGGAGAAGACACATAGTTTACTAGCACAATAGTTTCAGCAAATAATAAATTTTTGCTTCTCAAGATTGGTATTACGTTCATCACAAGAAAGGGATATTTTATTAGCTCTGGAAAACTACATTTTTTGAGATCTTCAAAAGTGTCCAAATGCCTATGTTAAACTAATTATAAAGCAAAATCTCAATTATTGAAAAGAACAGCATTATGCCATAAATTTCTCATTCTGAATAAAGCATGGCATTTCAAATCAGATTACATGGAAATTAAATTTTCTAAATCTTTAAAACCTTAGCAGTTTCTGGCCAGGCATGGTGGCTGACGTCTGTAAGCTCAGCATTTTGGGAAGCCAAAGTGGGTGGATCACTTGAGGTCAGGAGTTTGAGATCAGCCTGGCCAATGTAGCAAAACCCCTTCTCTACTAAAAATACAAAAGTTAGCGGGGCATGGTGACATGTACCTTGGAAGCCTGAGGCAGGAGAATTGCTTGAAACTGGAGGTGAAGGTTGCAGTGAGCCAAGATCACGCCACTGTACTCTGGCCTGGGTGCTAAAGTGAGACTCCATCTCAAAAAAAAAAAAAAAAAAACAAACAAAAAAAAACCCACCAAAACCCAAAACAGAACCTTAGCAGGTTCTAAACCTTTCATGCTTTTAAGGAGACCTTTATACCCTCCCTCTTTACATGACCAAAAATTCTTCCACAAGGGTAAAGTTTTCCTTTTGTGTGTCCACTGGAAGCCAGTTCTGATCATTATCCATGATATGAAAATGCCCAGACGATAGATGAATGAATGAATGAATAAATAAATAAAAACTTTACATATATATGTAGGGTATGTGTGCATGTGTCACTGTATCTATAACATATATTTGGATATATCTATACTGGTCTCCAAATTAAATTATATAGTGTAAAAGTCTGACATATACCATGGCTTGTATATAAGGAATTTCATGGCTCTATATGAAACACTACAATAGGAGTTTGATAAGATTTGTACTAGATCATCACATTCATCTCAGTGAAACTGGAATTCTGCTGGTAGTAAAGAATTGAGCATCAGAAATAATACTTCTGAATATCATTAAGGAGGCAGAAAGATTACTAAAAAGAACATGGGGTCTGGAGTCAGACTTCATTTAAATGCACATTTAGGCACTTACTATATGACCATTGGCACATTACTTACTCTGAACCTGGTTCCTTACCAGATGGAGGATATTAATCCAGGATTGTTTTCAGAATTAACTAAGATAAAGTAAAAACATTTAGCACATTAACTAGCATATATTAGGCATGTAATACATATTAGTTACCTTCTATTATCCTAAAAACAGATTTTTTTCCAAGTCGATTTTACCTTCACTTGTAAACTTGCTGATGCAACTCTTCTTTCTAGATCTTCTACCTGTTGAAGGACACTCAAATCCATTTCCATTGCTTGTTCTTCTACTGACCAGTTCTCCACAATATCTCGAGTTACTTGGTTTTCTTCATTTTCATTCAGTTCAATAATAGCAACTACATTTTAAAATAAATTAATTAAAAAATCCACTTATTAAGATTTTCCCCTCAGAGATTTCTTCCAGAAAGTGAATAAAATTCTAAGGGGACCATGTACATCTAACTTGACATACACAAATGCACTGTGTATGTACAGGCAGCTTACTCTTAAGAGTAGAAACACCATAAAAAACACAAAACAGTATGTCTGCAGGTGCAAAAAATTACAAGACAGTGAGTATCAATTTAAAAAATATAAATAGTTCGTTGAGTGAAACAGAAAAAAAATAGTAGTGAATTAAGATATCATTTATTTCTAGATACCTGTGGGAGACTGGTTCTAGGACACCGCCAACCCCCATGAACACCAAAGCCTATAGATGCTCACATCCCTTATAGAAGATGGTGTTGGCCAGGAGTGGTGGCTCACGCCCATAATCTTAGCACTTTGGGAAGCTGAGGCGAGAGGATCACTTGAGGCCAGGAGTTCAAGACGAGCATGGGTAACATAGTGAGACCCTGTCTCTACAAAAAATTTAAAAAAAAGAAACAAAAAAAAAAAACTTGCTGGATGTGGTGGCATGTGCCTGTAGTCCCAGCTACTCAGAAGGTTGAGGCAGGAGGATTGCTTGAGCTCAGGACTTCAAAGCTGCAATCAGCTATGACTGCACCACTGTTCTCTAGCCTAGGTGACAGAGTGAGACTCTCTTACAAAAAAAAAAAAAAAAAAAAAAAGGTATAGTATTTGCATGTAACCTACATACATCCTCCTGTATGCTTTTATTTCTAGGTTACTAACAGTACCTATGACAATGTAGATGCTATGGAAATAGTTGTTATACTATATTATTTAGGGAAGAATGATAAGGAAAAAAAGTCTGTACATGTTCAGTACAGATACATCCATCTTTCTTTTCTTTGAGTCTGTTTGATCTGCAGTTGGCTGAAACTACAGATGTGGAGCTCACAAATATAAAGGACCAGTAGGTTATGCTAAAATATGCTTTAGAATAAAATAATTCTTATAACTAAGCAAGAAAGCTGAAATCTCTTTTAGGTACATACCATCCTTATTCTTGATGCAGGCTTGAGTAATATAATCCAAATGTTTCTGAATTTGTTTTTGTAATGCCTTTTCTCTTATTCCTCTGAGATGCAGCACTTTGAGCAAAGCTTTTAGGTCCTCTGGGTCAATAATTCTCCACCAACCAAACTGCATTTCTAAGTCAAGACAAATAAGTAGACCTTTTACAAATATTTTGAATAGGAAATGACACTATGGAAATACAAAGATTTATTAACTACATATAGAGCCATTAAATATTCAGTTATAATTTAGGAATCCATAATACTGAAATTGAGTTAAGTGGCTATAAACCATCCCAATGTACCTACCTTCTGGAATAGGTTTTGGACTAGGAAAATCTACTGGTTTTGCTACTTCAACAGCTGCAGGTTGAGCTGAAGAGGGCTTTTCATTCTGTGGTACTGGAGATTCACTTTTACTTGAAGCAACATTGGAAGTCAAGAATGAATTACTATTTCCTTCTGATAGCCCTAACCCTGAGCCTAGACTAGGTAGAGATGACGTAAATGGAATATTAGAAGTAAGCACACCAGTGGGCCACCCACAAAACTGAAGTCCCATCATAGATACTCCACCTTTCACCTGCAAAAAGAAAACATATATTAATAAAAAGTAGATTACTCTAAGAAGTTAGGAAAAATGTTTAGAATATGAAATTATTTTCAAAATTCTGAAAAATATTCTTTCATTTATTATAATTAGAGGAAAATGAAATATATTAGCAATAAAAATGTTAAATTCCATGTTCTTATTTGTTCCCCAAAGTAATTTCCCTTTCAGATATACTGTTACACTAATAATTTAAAAAGTAATTAAAGACGACTTAGACCAAGGTTAGAAATCAGTAGTTCTAATGAACCTTGGTGACAGAAACTCTGAGTTGCTTCAGTTTTCATACTGTAGCAGGAATATTTTCACTATTTGAGTGATCCCCCCTTAAGCAAAATCTCCATGGGGTCAAAGATTACATAAAGCAATACCAAAATGAGTTACAGTTAGCAGTACCAACCTGAAGGGGTGATAAAGCAAATGGATTTAAGCCAACAGGGTTCTGAGCAGATGATCCAAGAGGAGCTGGGGCAGGTGAAGGTGACTTCGATGGTGGCTGAGACTGAGGAGTCACCAAAGAAGCAGTTGACATATCAGCATGAGTAAGTGAAGTGTCATCACAAGGTGTTCGTGGCAAAAGACTGAACCATTGTCTATTCTTTTCAGTCAGCGTTTTTAGTAACTGGTCATTGGGGAGAGGACTATAGAACTTCCCTGGACCACTTGAACCACTGTTAGACAGATTATTAGAGTCTGCCTTTTCCACATTGCTATGCGTTGCTGTTGACTGGATGCTGCCCAATGGATGTTTTCCACTGTTCTGATAAGACAATGTGCACCCATTTGCACTAACATTTGGTTTAGGAGTCATAACGTCTGACTCAGGAGGCATCTTAGCTACTTCCAAAAGCTTGCTCAATTTGGAAAAAGAGCCAGGTTTCTGAAGGAATAGATTTGTGTTATCTTTTTCTTTAAGATCTTCCTTTTGTTCACAGTGATCTGTATTTGAACAATTTAAAGTATCCCCAGAAGTCTCAAACATTTCTTCTTTGATCTGGACACTTTCTGCCATTTTTAGTTTTTCTCTTTCTTTTGCAATTTCTTCTAGTCCTACAAAATCAAAAAGCATTATGAAGACCAGTTACTTCAGATCAAACCAATACTGTAAATAAATGTCATTACTGTTTATCAAATTATATGCATAAATACTTAAACTTTTTAGATTACCTAATACTCCCTATATTTTCCTTTTTTGTAGATTATAGCTCTCACTCACTGGAAAATTAACATATATTTGTTATAAAAAATTAAAATCTGACAATACTAAAAGTACAAAAAATATTAAAAGCTCTACTACACAGCAAAAATTACCCTTAATATTTTTGTATTAAACCTCTAGGAGTGCTCTATATGATACATACACACTTAAATCCATATAATTAAAAAAAGAAATTCTACTAAATATATAATATTCTAAACTCCTACAGCATTTTATTGAATAATACCCTGTAAACACCTTGACATGTCGATAAACATATAACTTCATTATAAATTTTAATGGCTACAGAATGAAATATAACTATATCATTTATTAAACTATCAATCTTCTACTGATATATAATAGATCCCAATTATTCACTATTATAAACTGTGCTGTAAATAATGAATGACTTTTTGTCTATATTTTTAGACTTGTTCCCCCGATTTACTTCCTTAAAATAAATTCCTAGAAAAATTGTCAAACTGCCCTCTAGAAAACTTGGATCAATATATACTCACATTAAAGTACCTGAGGGCATCTGTGTGCCAACACCCTCTATGAAACTCGATGCTATCAATAATTTGTCTTTAACAATATTTGAGAGGTGAAAATCTAGATTACATTATTTCTGGTCATTAGAAGGCTGATATCTTCTCCCCATAATATTAATTGATGTTAATGTTATTATAAGAATTTTTAAAAACTTGTGCATTTAATGTTAAATCTAACCTTATTTTATTAAGAACACATTATTCTTTCAAGGAACTTTTAAAAAGTAGTAAGATGACAAGAATAATGTATATTATTAATGTTGAACTAACTTTCAGCACCCATTTATATATGGTAGTTTCTACTAGTTTGACACTTATTGATCCTTATCAGCCTTGCCTGTCAGACACACTACTTGCTCCTATTATACACTTGTATGTTCTCTTTGTCTTCATAAGTGCTATATCTTTCCAATTAGATTGTGAGCTCTTTGTGGATGGGGACAGGTTAACTGATTCTTTTGCATCTCGTTTTGCTCAAGTGATTTCCCTATGTCAGCCTCCTGAGTAACTGAGATCACTGGTGCACACCACATTCAGCCATATAATAAATGATTTTTAGTAGAGACAAGGTCTTGCTATGTTGTCCAGGCTGGTTATGAATTCCTGGGCTCAAGCAATCCTGCCTCAGTCTCCCAAAGTGCTAGGATTACAGGCAAGAGCCGCTGAGCCTGGTCTTATTTTGCCTCTCCACAGCACTTAGTACAAGAGACAGTACAGGTGCAAATAAACACGATGAATAAATAGTCTGAGTTTTTCCCTTATTTTAATAAATGGTAAAATAAAAAGAAATCTATACCTGTTATTTATAAGTTCATAGCACATAGAATATAGGAGATGTATGTTCCTTTATTATTTCGTTTACAGATCTATTAATCTATATATATCATATGCAAATCATATATATTAGTGAATGTATGATTAATATATGCGTATATGATTAATACATATTAATATTAATCATACGTATTCACTAATATATCACATATATTAATAGATCTATTAATGAAATAATAAAAAACTTCAGAACAAAATAAACTAAATGAAAAATTATCCCTACTTCCCACTGCTCTGCAATGACCACAAATAATAGTACAAAGTACAACTGCTATTTATGTAACATTTTGTAGTTCTTTTAGATCCATTATCTGACATGATCCTTATTACAACCAAAGAATTTATATAGAGCTTATTAATATTCTTTTGCAGAAAGGAAAATCAGGCTCCAGAGAGGTTATGTAGAAAAGCCTGGATGGAAAGGGAGGTCTATTATGTAAATTTGATCAATGTTATTTAATCTCAGAGGCTTAAAATTAAAACAAACAGACAAACAAAAAAAGAACGGTCTCATAAGCTATTCTTATAAACCTTATAAATAAATAATTTATTTACTTATTTAAATCTTAAAGTATTTTAAGTGTGCCTGCGATATAGAAAGTACTATCCTTCTGACATTACATAATGGTAAAAAGATCAATGCAACAAGAAGAGCTAACGATCCTAAATATATACGCAACCAATACAGGAGCACCCAGATACATAAGGGAAGTTCTTAATGACTTACAAAGAGACTTAGACTCCCACACAATAATAGTGGGAGACTTTAACACCCCATTGTCAATATTAGACAGATCAACCAGACAGAAAATTAACAAGGATATCCAGGACTTGAACTCAGATCTGGACCAAGCAAACCTAATAGACATTTACAGAACTCTCCACCCCAAATCCACAGAATAGACATTCTTCTCAGCACCACATCACACCTACTCTAAAATTGACGACATAATTGGAAGTAAATCACTCCTCAGCAAATGCAAAAGAACGGAAATCATAACAAACAGTCTCTCAGACCACAGTGCAATCAAGTTAGAACTCAGAATTCAGGAACTAACTCAGAACCACACAACCTCATGGAAACTGAACAACTTGCTCTTGAATGTTGACTGGATAAACAATGAAATGAAGGCAGAAATAAAGATGTTCTTTGAAACCAACGAGAATGAAGACACAACATACCAGAATCTCTGGGACACATTTAAAGCAGCCTCTAGAGGAAAATATATAGCAATAAGTGTCCACATGAGAAGCAAGGAGAGATCTAAAATTGACACTCGATCGTCAAAATTGAAAGAGCTAGAGGAGCAAGATAAAAAAAACTCAAAGTCTAGCAGAAGACAAGAAATAACTAAGATCAGAGCAGAACTGAAGGAGACAGAGACACAAAAAAACCTTCAAAAAATCAATAAATCCAGGAGCTGGTTTTTTGAAAAGATCAACAAAATAGACAGCCCACTAGCCAGATTAATAAAAAAGAAAAGAGAGAATAACCAAATTGATGCAATAAAAAACGATAAAGGGGATATCACCACAGATTCCACAGAAATTCAAACCATAATCAGAGATTATTACAAAGAACTCTATGCACATAAACTAGTAAACCTGGAAGAAATGGATAAATTCCTGGACACTTGCCTCCTCCCAAGCATAAACCAGGAAGAAGTTGAAACCCTGAATAGACCAATAACAAGCTCTGAAGTTGAGGCAACAATTAATAACCTACCAACCAAAAAAAGCCCAGGTCCAGATCGGTTCACAGCCAAATTCTACCAGACAAACAAAGAGGAGCTGGTACCATTCCTTCTGAAACTATTCCAAATAATACAAAAGAAGGAATCTTTCCCAAATCATTTTACAAGACCAACATCATCCTGATACCAAAACCCGGCAGAGACTCAACAAGAAAAGAAAACTTCAGGCCAATATCCATAATGAACATAGATGCAAAAATCTTCAATAAAATACTGGCAAGCCGATTGCAACAGCACATCAAAAAGCTTATCCACCACGATCAAGTAGCCTTCATCCTGGGGATGCAAGGCTGGTTCAGCATACGCAAGTCTATAAATGTAATTCACCACATAAACAGAACCAAAGACAAAAACCACATGATTATCTCAATTGATGCAGAGAAGGCCTTTGACAAAATTCATCAGCCCTTGACGCTAAAAACCCTCAATAAACTAGGTATTGATGGAACGTATCTCAAAATAATAAAAGCTATTTATGGCAAACCAATAGCCAATATCCTACTGAATGGGCAAAAACTGAAAGCATTCCCTTTGAAATCTGGCACAAGACAAGGATGCCCTCTCTCACCACTCCTATTCAATATAGTACTGGAAGTTCAAGCCAGAACAATCAGGCAAGAAAAAGAAATAAAGGGTATTCAAATAGGAAAGGAGGAAGTCAAACTGTCTCTATTTGCAGACAACATGACTGTATATCTAGAAGACCCCATCGTCTCAGCCCAAAATCTCCTGAAACTGATAAGCAACTTCAGCAAAGTCTCAGAATACAAAATCAATGTGCAAAAATCACAAGCATTCCTATACACCAATAACAGACTTAAAGAGAGCCAAATCAAGAACGAACTGCAATTCACAATTGCTACAAAGAGAGTAAAATACCTAGGAATACAACTAACAAAGAATGTAAAGGATCTCTTCAAGGAGAACTACAAACCACTGCTCAATGAAATCAGGGAGGACACAAACAGATGGAGAAGCATTCCATGCTCATGGTTAGGAAGAATCAATATTGTGAAAATGGCCATACTGCCCAAAGTAATTTACAGATTCAACGCTATCCTCATCAAGCTATCAATGACCCTCTTCACAGAACTGGGAAAAAACACCTTAAACTTCATATGGAACCAAAAGAGAGCCCGCATAGCCAAGTCAATTCTAAGCAACAAGAACAAAGGGGGAGGCATCACACTACTGGACTTCAAATTATACTACAAGGCTACAGTAATCAAAACAGCATGGTACTGGTACCAAAACAGAGATATAGACAAATGGAACAGAACAGAGGCCTTGGAGGCAACACAACATATCTACAACCATCTGATCTTTGACAAGTCTGACAAAAACAAGCAATGGGGAAAGGATTCCCTGTTTAATAAATGGTGTTGGGAAAACTGGCTAGCCATGTGCAGAAAGCAGAAACTGGATCCCTTCCTGACACCTTACACTAAAAGTAACACTAGATGGATTAAAGACTTAAACATAAGACGTAACACCATAAAAACCCTAGAAGAAAATCTAGGCAAAAACCATTCAGGACGTAGGTGTAGGCAAGGACTTCATGACCAAAACACCAAAAGCATTGACAACAAAAGCCAAAATAGATAAATGGGACCTAATCAAACTCCACAGCTTCTGCACAGCAAAAGAAATAATCATTAGAATGAATCGGCAACCAACAGAATGGGTAAAATTTTTTGCAGTTTACCCATCTGACAAAGGGCTGATATCCAGAATTTACAAAGAACTAAAACAGATTTACAGGAAAAAAACAAACAAGCCCATTCAAAAGTGTGCAAAGGATATGAACAGACACTTTACAAAAGAAGACATACATGAGGCCAACAAACATGAAAAAATGCTCATCATCACTGGTCATTAGAGAAATGCAAATCAAAACTACATTGAGATACCATCTCACGCCAGTTAGAATGGTGATCATTAAAAAATCTGGAGACAACAGATGCTGGAGAGGATGTGGAGAAATAGGAACACTTTTACACTGTTGGTGGGAGTGTAAATTAGTTCAACCATTGTGGAAGACAGTGTGGCGATTCCTCAAGGACCTAGAAATAGAAATTCCATTGGACCCAGCAATCCCATTACTGGGTATATATCCAAAGGATTATAAATCGTTCTACTATAAGGACACGTGCACACGAATGTTCATTGCAGCACTGTTTACAATAGCAAATACCTGGAACCAACCCAAATGCCCATCGATGATAGACTGGACAGGGAAAATATGGCACATATACACCATGGAATATTATGCAGCCATCAAAAACGATGAGTTTGTGTCCTTTGTCGGGACATGGATGAACCTGGAAACCATCATTCTCAGCAAACTGACACAAGAGCAGAAAATCAAACACTGCATGTTCTCACTCATAGGCGGGTATTGAACAATGAGAACACATGGACACAGGGAGGGGAGCATCACACACTGGGGTCTGTTGGGGGGAAATAGGGGAGGGACAGCAGGGAGTAGGGAGTTGGGGAGAGATAGCATGGGGAGAAATGCCAGATATAGGTGATGGGGAGGAAGGCAGCAAATCACACTGCCATGCGTGTACCTATGCAACAATCTTGCATGTTCTTCACATGTACCCCAAAACCTAAAATGCAATTAAAAAAAGAAATAAAATATCAGCAACATAGATATTTTCCTGTGCTCTTCCCAGGACACTTGCCTTTATTACCACTCCAGAGGTAAGAACAAACTGTAGTTGTTATTATTCACTCCCTTGAGTGTCTTTAAAAGTTCAACACATGTATCAATCTTAAAATAATTTGTTGTGGTTTTCTCTATTTTTGAACTTTATGTTAAATTAAAGAGTATAGGTTTTACTATGACTAGTTTCTTTCAAAAAATGTATTTTGTGATTCACTCCTATTGATGCTTAGAGCATATTTATTTTTTAAATTAATATTTAATAATTCTACATATTTTGGGGTACATGTAATTTTGATACCTGTACACAATATATAATGAGCAAATCAGGGCTTCTGGAGTATCCATCAACTCAAACATTTATTTTTTTCTTTGTGTTGGGAACATTACAAATCCAGCTATTTTGAAATATGTAATAAATTTTTGTTATCTATAATTTTCTTATAGTATGATTGAATGCTACAACTTATTCCATCATTGATTTACAGCTTTCTATTTAATGCATATGTCAAAATGTACTTGTAGTCTTTTTCTCACGCATGTTTGAGTGATTTCCAGTACTACAGTACAAAGAAAATGGTTCTTTATATATGCACCAAAAGAGTATATGTGTGTATGTGTATATGGATGTTTATGTATTAATACTGTTATTTTAAAAAATAAAATTAATATAAATTTTCTGAACAACAACAACAAAAAAGAACGTACTATCATTCCAACATTATGGAAAATAAAAAGTACAGATGAAGATTATAAGATTTAAATAAGGAAATAGTATATATATTAATGTGCTAAAATAATTGTGTAATTAATTATCTGCTTTTCTGGAAGCTCAATTTCACGTATATTAAAAATTTCACTTAAATAAGCTGGGAAGTTTATGGAAAAGTTTAGGATTTGAGCTGGATCAAGAAGGATGGGTGAAATTTAGATGGTAGAAGAAAAGCAGATTATCATATAATGAACAAAATTTGACAAAGATGCAAGGGGAGGAATACATATATGTTGAGTGAGTAGACTGGACTAGGTGAATTCTCATTAGAGAACAGTGTAAAGACAGCTTGGAGTCAGAATTATATACAGTCTTGAATGCCAGGCTGTCAAGTCCGACCTGCAGACCCTGACTCAGTGATGGATGAACAAAAGCACTCAGACACAGATATCCAGTGAAAGAGTGGGCTAGGGGTCTCGGCCACTCACAGACACCGAGGAGGGTGCAGCCCTCACCAGCTGGCACTGCAGGCATTTATTAAGTATAGATTTAATGACAAAGGCTTTGAGTCAACACACTTGTGGATAATTAATATGGTCGCCCTCCCCAGAGATGGCAGTCTTACAGATGACTAAAGGCCAGGTTCCAAGGCCTAAGTAAACTAACTTATCTAGATCAGTTTCTTTACATCCACTAGTTACTTAACTTAAGCTTTCAGGCACCAGATAAGAGAATCTGGCTGCCTTTAGCTATTACTATTCTGAGGCTTTTGCAAGACCCTCTAGCCTTCTAAGGTTTGTGTCCATTTTACAATTTTTCTCACTACCCTGACTGAACTCCTACAGCTAAGTACATATTTATAACATCATATTATCGGTTATAGGTATATTTAAGGTTTCAGAGTAGAGAAATGATATGATGACAGAATGTAATAGAAGGAGGAATTGTATACAGAGAAATTGAGGACAGGTGTAATAATCCAGGTACATAATGATGAACTGATTTCAGTAGTGTTGCAAAGAGACCGATTTCAGGTATTCTGAAGGAAAGTTGATGTCCTAGATACTTCAAGTTTACATGTCCAAGTGACTAAGAAAAATGTGGCTCTTAATCATATTGAATATTTAACTGGTCTGGGTAGGGCTCAGATTGGTTGGTTTCTTAAGCTGTTCAGGTGATTCTAATTATACCTAAGGTTAAAAAGCCACTCACCTGGGCATTTAAAAAGGATCTGCTCTCAAGTCTCCCGGGTTCTGTATTTCTAAATGATCCATAATTTTGTCATTTTAAATTAGATTCCCATACTAAAACTTTGACTTAATTTCATTTCAAACAGCCTCTCCTATTGACTACTCTAATTCATTTTAAAGTATCATAATTTGTATTATGTATGTATTTTATTTATTTTTGAGACAGGGTCCATTCTGTCACCCAGGCTGGAGTGCAGTGGTGCGATCTCAACTCACTGCAACTTCTGCCTCCTGGGTTCAAGTGATTCTCCTGCCTCAGCCTCCCGAATAGCTGGGACTACAGGCACATGATACCACCCTTGGCTAATTTTTTGTATTTTTAGTAGAGATGGGGTTTCACTGTGTTAGCCAGGATGGTCTCTAATCTCCTGACCATGTGATCTGCCCACCTCGGCCTCCTAAAGTGCTGAGATTACAGGTGTGAGCTGCTGCACCCAGCCAACATGGATTCTATCTTACACAGCTTTGTGTTTCCTACAGTGCCTAGAAATATCTAGCACCTAGCAGGCATTCAAAAATGGGTTTTTTCTTCCATGTCTGATGGGGACAAAAGTGTTAATGTTAGTGCTTACAGACTTCAGAAAGTAAAAACATTTTTGCTTCCATGTACCAACATAAGTCAGTATCTACATTCTAAAACCTATAAGCACTAACGTAACACTTTTGTCTCCATCAGAATTTGGCATTTGAAAATGTCCAGACGTGGAGTTCTGAAAAGTTACATTCAAGAAGGTTTACTGAGCACATAAATGCACAATGTATTCTACTAGTTAATGTAACAGAAATGGAGCCAGCGAAAGAGGTCTAAAGGTAGAATATCATGAATTTGTGGTAACACAAAATTCAAAAAAGGAACAAGTTTGAAGGAGAGGGAAGTGATCTCAAATTTCAAACATTAACAAGATTTGAAAAGGAATGAGGATTATAATGAAGATCTTAGATTTAAGCAAGTTACCTATTGGGAGGTAGTGCCAGGATGTATGCTTATTATAAAGTAATAAACCACTTATTGGGAAGTTTGACAATGGGAAGGATGAGAAATGGAGCAGCAGCTATAAAAGGTAATACAGGTGCAGATCTTTGTCCGCTAAAGAAAGAACAGTTTATGTCTGATGTCAGAAACAGTAGAAATATCAAGGGCTGGAATATCAACAGTATCATGTTTTAAGAGGTAGGCTTTTAACCTTGGCATTAAGCTTGTAAAGTTCAATTGTAGGAATGTTTCTAGTGCTTCTCCTTTTTATGTATCAGTGAAGGGGCATTATGGGTTCAAAAGGAATGAGAAGCAAGGTTGTACATGTTTGCCAAACATTGATTATGGGAACACAAAATATACTGAAGAAGTAACAGAGTTTTAAAATATATAGTTTCTTAACAATTTATATTGGATTATTAGTTCTTACCTTCACCACTCTCCATGCCTTCTACAAAAACCCCCCCACATTGGGGAAGAATCCAGTACCGGCGTCTGTAACGATCCTGGCCAAACATCATTGAACGTAATGAGTGAGATGCATCAAAGAGTTTCCTTCTGTACTGACTCTGTTGCTGTTAAAAATGGTACATATAATTAAGTTTGGGATGTTAAATGCTTTAAAAATTAATATATAAGTAACTTTATACTTATTAAACCTTTAAGCAATAAATTTCACTACTGGGAAAAGAGCAAAAGGGCTAAATATTCATTCCTCACTTCAATTTCAGTAACATTTATAAAGATAGAAATCACTTTAAGGATAATTATTTTCACTGCCATGGAGTAAGAGGATAAGTTTTATTTTATCAAGTATCTTATAGTAAAACATGTCTTATACTTGATAATAAACAATGGGATCAAGTATTTTACAGAGCCAAAGCAAACTGGTTCAATTCTATTCATTACAGTATATAACAAATAATACATATAGGCCAGGCACAGAGGCTCATGCCTGTAATCCCAGCACTCTTTGGGAGGCCAAGGCGGGTGGATCATTTGAGCCCAGGAATTAGAGATCAGCCTTGGCAACAGAGTGAGACCCCATCTCTACAAAAAATATGAAAAATTAGCTGGGCGTGGTGGCACATGCCTGTAGTTGCAGCTTCTGGGGAGGCTGAGGTGGCAGGATGGCTTGAGCCTGGGAGGTCAAGGCTGCAGTGATCGTGCCATTGCAATCCAGCCTAAGTGACAGAGTGAGACTCTGTTTCAACAAACAAAGCAAAACAAAAACCAAATAATATATATATAATTGGCTAAACCTGTATTTGCCAATTTTTATAATCATGTAAACTTAGATAACATATAATTTTTAGGATAGATCCATGATAAATCTAATACTAATAACATACACAGGCATCTCATAATAGCTTTAAAAACTCATTTTTGTTCTTATAAAAAGCTTATTTTAAATTTTATTACACTATGAAATTTAGTTTTCTTTTTTCTTTTTTTTTTAAATAGAGACGAGATCTTGCCACGTTGCCCAGGCTTGTCTCAAACTCCCGGGCTCAAATGATCCTCTCTCCTCAGCCTCCCAAAGTGCTGGGATAATAGGCATAAACCAGTGCTGAAACTGAATTTTTAACGAGAAGTATGTAAATATGGACAGTTTACAAATCCAATACAAATTAAGCCCACAAATCTACAAATGTAAAATAAAACCTAAGATGCTGAAACTATCACTATGAAATTCAACTGAATTTTTTAGTAATTAATTCCAAAAAATAAAACTATGCCTTAATTGATACTTTGTATTTATATGAAGAGCTGAAGAATACAGAATATTTTCTTTCTAGGCTCTGATTAAGTTCAGTACGATGTTTTAAGAGGCAAGCTTTTAACCCTGGCATTAAGCTTGTAAAGTTCAATTGTAGGAATATTTCTAGCACTCCTCATCTTATTTTTTTTCTGATAAAAATGTTATTCAGAATCTTCATTTTTAATTATTCACCAAAAGCTTGTTTTTGCTTAGCAGTCAGAAAAACTAATCCCCATACAATGTAGATTTTTAAAACACTGAAGATGTAAATGTTAACCAGAAAAGTGCTTACTTTACTCAGTTTTTCAATCTGTTTTTCCAGCTCTTCAACACTTGCTGCTTGGTCACCTTCATCCTATACATAAGAAAATACAGTATCATTTATCTGTTTTTAAGATTCAATCAATCAGTAAATATTTAATGAAAGTCTCCTATATGCAAAGTACTATGGAAAGGAATAAGAATCCACTCTTTTCTATAAACTAATAATCTGGTAGAGAGATACATAAAATGTTCCATTAAAAAAACACAAAACCCCAGGTATGGTGGCTCATGTCAGTAATCCCAGTGCTTTAGGAGGCTGAGATAGGAGGATCACTTGAGGCCAGGAATTTGAGACTAGCCTGGACATCACAGTCAGATCCAGTCTCTACAAAAATCAAAATTAGCTGGGCACAGTGGCTGGTGCCTGTAGTCCCAGCTAATTGGAAGGCTGACACAGGAGGATCACTTGAGCTCAGAAGTTTAAGGCTGCTGTGAGTTATGACCATTCCACTGCACTCCAGCCTGCAGACCTCATCCCCTCAAAAAACAAAACATAACAAAACCACACACACCATAAACCCCCCAAATAGCAGGAAGATATAAGGATCTCAAAGAGAGGTAGCCATTAAAAGCTGTGACATTCAAGGCAGAATAAGATTACTTTTAGTGGAAATGTATACCAAGAGAGGCTTTATAGAAGAAGTCATGTTTTAATTCGCTACTAAAGAATGGTTAGAAATGCATTCATCAGAGAAAAGAGGACAGGTCATTCCATAAAGAGTCTGACACGTCTTGACACAAGAGGTGCATAAAGAGGTAAGGTAGGAGATGAGGCAAGATGAATTTAGGGCTAGATTGTGAAGACCTGTAAATGCTTGGCAATTAACAAAATGATCCTTTGAGGTAGGTCAAACATCAGAATTATGCTTTCCAAAGGTTATTTTGGCAATAATTATTAGATGGCCTGGAGCAGAGAAGGGATTAAAATTGGTAAAATAGCTAACAGACTAGTTTTAGTTTAAATCTAGCTGACAGATTAGAGAAGAAGGGATATGGTTCTTACTAGGGTAAAAGAAATAAAGATGGAAAAAACCAAATGGATGTAAGAGATGTTACATAGTTATAGTAAAGCTGTTAAGTCTTGGCAACTCATGAACATGCGGCACAGAGGGGCAAGGAAGATGATGAAATAAATAATGATGTTAAGGTTTTAAATTTAGGAGACTGGAAAAACACTGATACCATCAACTGAAGGAGTTATTTTTAAAGGGAAGAAGATTATCTATATTTGAACACATTGAGCTTTTAGAATAAAAATAATTCCCAACATATATAGAATTAATTTCATAAACAGAAGATTTGCAAGTAATTATGTAAAATTTTTCATTCTAGAAAATGATAACAGAAGTAGTATCTCCAAATTGTATCTTTTAGAGGGAAAGCATGAACAGAAGGTACATGGGTTTCTTTGGATCTTAGCTGCGCTACCAGACATAGGCAAATTACTTAATTTTTTTAAGGCTATTCATCTGTAAATTTGGTGATAATGTTAGCTATTACATGAAGGTTTTGTGAGGACAAATTATGAACAGATCTGAAGGCAACCAACAGTGTTCCTTCTTTAATAAGAAGATGCAGGTACAGCCTAGATTAAAGATTAAAGAAAAATAACAACTTGTTTTTGATGTTTACTTCCTATAAGCATTTATAAAAAGCCACACTGCCACCAACCACCATAAATATATATTTCTGACCAGTATGGCTACCTACACAGTGAAAAAAATAGTGAAAAGAAGATTCTCACACTTTTACCATCATCTCTCATTCGTCTACTCCTTAGCCAAATTTGGGGAACCAAGTTACAAAGGTGTTTAGGCACACCATTTGTGCTAAAAGTAACATGAATTCTATTTGGAATTAAAAGAAACCTTAAAAGATAACTAGCTCAACAACTCTTAAATCTTGACTCTCATGTAAATATTTATATATTCTAATGTGGTATTTTAATCAGCAGGACAAATGTTTGATAATCTGTTTATGCCAAAATACAGTTCAATCAAGAAATATTCAAAATAAGATATCAGATATTTGAAACTGCCATGTATCAGCCAAACTGTCTAACTGCAATTTTTAAGGTTCTTCCTATGATGCAAAAAGAAATAAAATGTCTCCTAAAGTTTTATTCAAAGGAGCTTTGGCTAATAGTACTTTTAATTTTCAGAGATTTAAAAAAAAAAACTTGGAAGAACATAGAGAAAAGTAGTAGCACCAACAACAAAACTAAGAATACAGAATCTATCCCTGCCACAGTTCCCCAACCAAAAAAGAGGGTCATTATATGTCCCTATATGTCAGAATTTAATTGTCCACAAAACCTCTTACAGGCCAACTTGTAAGGTTAAATTCCCATAGGTCTCGACAAAACTCTACAGAATGAAGGAAAGAAGAGTGAGGAGAAAAGGGAATCCTCTTTGTGATAAAGGGGCTATGATCTAGTCAAGAGAAGTATCTTAATTGAAAGGGATTATGTGGGTCTCAATAAAAACACCCCTGCAATCAATCCTTTAAGGAAGGTAAACTTGAGAGGGCAAATCTATACTTTGAGAGCTAATGTGCCTAACTTAACAATCAGTTTCAGTATGTAATCAAAATTTTTCTTATATAGGAAATTGATGTGTCTGCCAGTTCTTCATTATAAAGAATAATTCAAATCATTGAACATGAAATGTTAATTTGACTTCTTAGGTCCTAATATTTATTACTTCACAAAATTTTGCAATTGTTTTCTCACATTATTAACAAAATCTACCTTTGCCAATGAGATCCCAAAATCTAACTCTATAATTCGCCACTCATAAAAAAGTGAAATACTACCTTAAATGGCACATCTTCTTTAAAACTTTAATAACGATTTTCAAATAGTCTATGTGTAAACAATAAAATGTATGGTTTGTTAATTCTGTTTAAAAAAGAAACCAAGCAAAACAAATAATTTCTGTAAATAAGCTCTAGTTTAGTAATAACTACACAGTAGAATAAACTGAAATCCTTGCACATCATTGTCCAAGTTATTAAATTTATGAGTTAACACTTTAAAATAATTTATAATGTGAAGTGCTAAAAGGGGCTACTAATTCTATGAAAAGGTAATTAATTTTGGTCAGAAAGGCTTAATACCTGCTATGGAAACAGCTCTACTTGCCAAATGAAGCAAACTGCTTATAAATGGTTTCTTTTGTTTGGGTAATCACACTTCTGCTACCCAAATTTTGTATTAGTTGTCACAGATGAATGTACATAAGTCAGTAGTTTCAAAAGTACAATATTATGAAATAAATTGCTTCTTCAAGGAATCTCAATGTAGTCTCATTTTCAGATTGGTATTCTTTAAAGTAGTGAAGTTCAATTAATTACAATGAGTTCTTGAATATGACATGAAAAACACAGGAAATAAAAACAAAAATAGAGAAGTGGCACTGTATCAAATTAAAGTGTTTCTTCATAGCAAAGGAAACAACAGACTGAAAAGGGAACCTATAAGATGGGAGAAAACATTTGCAAACCATATATTTGATAAGGGGTTAATATCCAAACTATATAAGTAACTCTTAGAACTTAACAGCAAAAACCAGGTAACAAGATTTTTAAAATGGACAAAGAACCTGAGTAGACATTTCTGCAGTGAAGACATACAAATGGCCAACAGGTATGTGAAAGGATGTCCAACATCACTAATCAGGGAAATGCAAAATCAAAACCACAGTGAGATATCATCTCACAGTTGTTATGATAGTTACTCTTAAAAAGAAAGAGAGGAAGAGAGAGACAGGGAGAGGGAGAGAGAGAGGGAGAGGGAGGGAGGTAGGGAGGGAGAAAGAGAAAGAGAGAGAGACAGAGAAAAGTGTTGGCAAGGATATGGAGAAATTGGAACCTTCAAATACTGTTGATGGGATTGTAAAATGGTGTAACCACTATAGAAAACAGTATTAAGGCTCCTCAAAAAATTTAAAAACTATCTGATCCTGCAATCCCACTTTGGGGTGTTTATTTAAAAGAACTAAAATCATGATCTCAACATATTTGTGCTGTAATGTTCATTGCAACGTTATTCACAATGGCCAAATGGTGAAAGCAACCCAAGTGTCCATTGATGGATGGATGAATAAACAAAATGTGACATACAGATACAATGAAATATTATTCAGCCTTAAAAAAACCCTGCCATATGTAATAACATGGGTGAACCTTGAGGACATTTTGCAAAGTGAAATAAACCAGTCACAGATGGTTAAATTCTACATGACTCCAATTTTATGAGGTATCTGAACTAGTCAAACTCAAAGAACCAGAGAGTAGAACGGTGGTTGCCAGGGGCTGGAAGGAAGGGGAAATTGGAGAGTTATTATTTAACGGTGTGAAGTTTCAGTTACGCAAGATGAATAAGTTCTAGAAAGCTGTTGTACAACTCGTGCCTATAGTTACCAACAGTGTATACTGTATATTTAAACATTTATTAAGGGGGTGGATCTCATGTTATATGTTCTATCAAAATTAAACAACAAAAAAGAAAAGTTCATTCTAGTAATTTTTACCATTCTGGTTTAAAATATAACACTGGAAAGGGAGAATTTCTGACAACATTTTGTATTTATGCTATTTTTACTTAAAGAATCGTGTAGCACATCGTAAGTCCTACATTCATTCATACATTTGATTAGCATTGGTCCCAACTAGATATTATTTTCACACATTCCATTGATAAATTTATCTCTCAGCTTTCACATTCCATCAATAAATTCATCTCTCTAAGCTTTCTTTATTTTCCAGCATTACTGAGTTGATGCAAGGAGGGAAAAGAGTTCTTTCTAGACTTCCTTAGCTAAGTATCTCTTAGCATTGAGGGCAGAAGAAATGGTTAGCTGTATGTTGTTTTTCTGAGTTCAGTTCTATAGTCCTATCGAGCATTCTTTTCTGATAAAGGTGAACATCAACCTTTTATACATGTCCATTTTCATGACTTATGGTAGTTTCCCCTAAACTCATATACATACACACACATCCCTCTATGACCTTGCTTTCTTCCCTTTGACCTACTCTTCAAAGGTAGCTCCTTCACCTTGATTGAAGCCCCTCCAAAATCTTTAGAACCTTATACCACTGTGCTATTTTCATTTCTTTTATCTTACATCCCCTTCTCTCATTTTATTGGCTCTTTTCTATCCATCAAAAATCATTTCAAGTCTTTCACATCTGAAAAATCCTTGGCTCTTTGTCCTGCTTTCTTCTGAGGCACAATGCTTGAAACAGTCATCTTCACTTTCTCACCTCCTATTGTTATCAATCAGTTATAGCCTGGTAGCTATGCTCATACCTCTACTAAAACTGTGTTGACACTGGTTACCAATGACCTCTATGCTGCCAAATTCAATCAACATTTCAGTTCTCATCACACTAGCCTCCTACTGCTTTACCACTGTTTATCACTCTCCTTTTTGCAATGTTTGATTTTCTTGATTACTATTATTATTACATGTGTAGAAAAGACAATACAGCAGACCTGATTGCTATCCTTTGGAAGGCCTGCTTACAAGGTTGGTCCTTGGCTGGCATACGGTAGCTTAGATTTTGGGAGGGTATCCCCACCCAAACCGATAAGATGAGCTCTTAATATGGACCTGAACTATTTGTGCTAACAACATGGATTATGCTGAATACCTGCTTTTCTTCAGGGAATCTGATATTTTGGCACATGCTATTCAGAGGGTACCTAAATGGCCAGCCTCCAGTAAAAACCTGGACACTGAGTCTCTAATGAGCTTCCCTTGTAGATAACATTTCATGCATGTTGTCATAATTTGTTGCTGGGGTAATTAAGCCTGTCCTATGTGACTCCACTGGAAGATGAGTCTTGGAAGTTTGCATCTGGTTTCCTCTGATCATTGCCCATACACTCTTTGCTGATTTTGCTTTGTTTCCTTTTACTGTAGTAATTCATTGCCATAAGCACAAGTATGTGCTGAGTTCTGTGAATCGTCCTAGTGAGTCACTAAACCTGAAGGTGATCTTGGGGACCCCCAATTCATTATAGAAATCTTCAACCTCTCTGCTGTTGCTTCTTGAACAAGAAGTCTTGTGGGCTCCTGTTAAATGCTGCTGTTCCCTGGGGTTCCAACCTCAGTCCACTACTCTATTCACTAAACCAATCCCCCTCTGCAATCTTACCTACCCATGATTTTAAATTATCATCTATGTGATAATAACATCCAGATCTATATTTCTAAGAGCGAACTCTTCTTCAGGCTTCAGATTCTTAAATCCAACTGACTGTTGAACTTCTCTACACAGGTACTTCAAACTCAGCATGTCCTAAAATAAATCTATCATTATTTCCTGTCTTGAATTATCTGTTCCCTTACCTACCCCTGCCCCCAATTATCTATTTACTCTGTTCCTGATTTCTCTATTTTAGTTAATGGCAACAATAGCATGAAGTCTTCCAAACCAGACTGCTGGAAATCAATCATACCACTCTATCAACCTACACAGTCCAACTTCCATCTTCAAGTCCTACCCATTCCACCTGCTAAATATTTATTAAATAATTTTCTCCCTCATCCCAACTACCATTGCTCTAGTTTCTACCTCTCACAACTCACCTAAACCACTGCAGTACCTCCTGACTGATCTCTGCACCTCTGATCTTGCCCCACCTTATTTCTGTCTTTCACATAGTTGCCAAAGTGAGTAACTTAAAAGTTAATGCTGACCGTGGCATTCTCTGATTATAACCCTTCAGTGGCTTCCTATCACTAAAAAAGCAAAAGATCCCAGTTCATCATTGTTGCATATGAGACTCCAGTAACACTGACGTACTTGCAAACCCCTTAAAGCACATTGTGTTTTCTTGCTTCTGTGCCCTTGCTTATGCATTTCTCTCTGCCTGGAACACTCTTCCCTAGACCTTTACCCAGGTTAATGTTCGGCTAAGCTTACAGCCTCAGCTAATGGGTCCAGACACTCTTTGTGGGAGTTTACTCCTCAGAAAGTCTAAATGCTCTTAAGTTGTATCTGCCTAGCACATTGTAAATGCCCCTCTCAAAGCAGTTAAAACATTATGTTTTCTTTTTGCAAATCCTCCTCAGTGAGACTGAACATTGAGATGGGACTTTCAGTGCCTTATTCATCTTTAATTAATAGTGCCTAGAACTAGAGAAATAATAATTGGTGTTTGAGGAATACATCATTTTCACTAAACCTGACAACACTTCTAAAGCATGAAGCGCTATAGAAATGTAACACAGTATGTTAATAGAATAAAACAGAATATCTGAAATAAAAAATCTGCCTATCTCTTTAGAGAATTCTCAAGTAAATTATATTTTAAAAACTTCTTTAATTCAGCCTCAGTGCCCTTTATGTATAGACATTCTATTAGATAATTACATAACCATCACAAAAATCTTTATGGGATGTATATTGTAAATTTGATTTTAAGATGAAGAAACTGAGGCAAGTAAATGTCAAAAATGAATTCAAATCCAAATCCATCTGACTCTAAATTTTTTTTTAAATGTGTTATGCAGTTCTAGGTGTCTTAAAATTAACCAAAATTTGATTACCTCATCTTCACAGATATCAGGCTTTTTTCCTTTTTTGTCTTCTTTATCTTCTTCGTCCTCATCATCTTCATCACCTTGGTCATCACTGTCATCGTCATCATCATCATCATAATCACTGTCTCCTCCCTTCCTTCTTCGCTTGCGTCCTGGAGTGGGTGTGCCTAAGGAATGTTGCTCTTCTCCAAGATCAATGCCACCTGAAGTGTCTTTTTTGCCTGTTTTCTTAGCATGAATGATTCTGAGCCTTTAAATATTACCAAAAGTAATGACATGGAATAAACGACTTCTCAATATAGTTTTAAAAGAGCAAAATGTGAGTTGTATGCAAAAATATCTTATAGCATTTATTTTGTGTTACACAATACACCAATGTTAAAAAAAATTAGAATTATGGAAACTTAAGAAATGTTTCCATTAATTACAGGGTGCATTAACTTTCAAGAGTTATTCTGGATATCTCTTTGGAATTAGACTTATTTAAAAAAAAATATGTAAGCTGAAAAGAATTCTAATGACAGCTGAGTAATAATTTCTGATCCCATACTAACTGACTGAATAAATTTCAATTCAAATTACTACAAAGAAACTAACCTCTTAACATAGGAGTAATTTCTGCAGGACATTTTCTGGCAGGAAGATAATTAAGTTTTAATGTTGAATAAGTTTAGATTCCATAAAAGCAAATTTTAATTAGAAAGCAATTAAGAAAAAAAGTGGCAGATCCAAACATTCTATTTGTGATAAAAGCAATTTAATAGCAAAGACAATCTTAGAAAATGTGATTGCTTGACTTGTTTAAAAGAAAAAAGAGAAAATGACTTTCAAGTATGAAGAATGTAAGCTCAATGAATCTCATTACATCTTTTGTCCATTGTAAATTCTGCACCTAAGTTTTATTAATTTCATATCCCATCTAAATTAAGCATTATCTTTTCTTTAAATAATAAAAGTTTAAATTCTATCTTTGCAATTCATATGCTTTACTGGGAATTTGGATAAAAAGAAAATAGTACATTAACTTTAATAAAACAGGACTTACTTGCGGAGTTTACCTTCTACCACCCATTTATCTCTCCTCAAGTTTGACATATAATCAATGTTCTTGTCGATTTCACTGCCAATGCAAGAATTTATTAAAATATGTAAATTAATCAATTTATGCAATGCTTTAATTTGATATGGAATAAATATCTTTGATATGTAAATTAATGTATTTTTAAGTAAAAAATGATAAAATTGACTTTGTGCATATACACATTCATATATATATATGTGTTTATATATGTATACACATACATGTTGAAAAGTGGTAACTTCTCCAATGGATACAACATTAGTATTAGAAAATTCACTGTGGTTTCTATCTTAAACCAAGAAAAAAACTATACACCTGTTGCCTTAGAAAGACAGCATTCTGGGGGAGGATCCAAGGTGGCCAAATAGGAACAGCTCTGGAGTGCAGTTCCCAGCAAGAACAACACAGAGGGTGAGTGCCCACTGCATTTCCAAACAAATTTACAATGCCCACAGACCAGGAGATCCCTGGGCCAAAATGCACCATGAGTTTTCAGCACAGCAGTTTCAGCCAGTGCCAGGTTGGCGCACAGAAACTCACACAAATCTGGGTGGCTGTTTCAACTGATTCCTGAACACCTGGGAGACAAAGCTGGCGATTCAACTGAAAGGGAGGGGTCAGAGACAGGGAGCCAGGCGATCTGCCTCGGCGGTTACCATCCCCACAAAACAAACAATCTGAAACGCTCTGGACTGAGAGTTTCGCTGGAAGTGCGGCTGGAACCAGGACGGTCCAGCTCAGTGAAGGGAAAGGGTGAGTACCACTACTGAGGCAGTTCACACTGCAGCTGGGCAGAGGCTGCAGCACCTCAGCAACACCTCTGCTGGCAGACTGTGACCAGACTACTATGTGTGGGTCAGGGCATCTATGAAAAAAGGCAGCGGCATGACAGGAACTTATAAATAAAGCCGACCTTCCTAGGACAGAGCACCTGCGGTAGCAGTCTAAAAGTACACGTCCAGCAGCTCTGCACAGAAAAACAGAGCTCCCAGAACAGCATTTGAGCTCCTATAAGGGACAGGCTATCTCCTCAAGCAGCTCCCTGACCCCCGTATACCCAAAGAGACACCTCAGGCCGACATCTGGCAGGTATCCTTCTGGGACAAAGATAACGGAAGAAACTGGCAGCTAACCTTTCTGTTCTGCAGCCCCCGTGGGTGATCCCCAGGCAAGCAGGGTCTGGAGTGGACCTCCAGCAGTCCTGTGGCAGAGGGGCCTGGCTATTAGAAGGAAAACTAAGAAACAGAAAGAAATAACTTCATCATCAACAAAAAGGCCGTCTACTCAGAGACCCCATCTGAAAGTCACCAACTACAAAGACCACAGGTAGATAGATAAAGCCACTAAAATGGGAAGAAACCAGCACAAAAAGGAGGAAAACACCAAAAACCAGAATGCCTCTCCTCCTCCAAAGGATCACAACTTCTCACCACCTAGGGATCAAAGATGGATGTAGAATGAATCTAATGAATGGACAGAAACAGGCTTCAGAAGGTGGGTAATAACAAACTTCTCAGAGCTAAAAGAACATGTGCTAACCCAATGCAAAGAAACCAAGAACTTAGAAATAAGGTTAGATGAGATGCTAACTAGAATAAACAGCTCAGAGAAGAATATAAATGACTTGATGGAGCTGAAAAACACAGCACATGAACTTCGTGAAGCACACAGAAGTTTCAATAGCTGAGTCGATCAAGCAGAAGAAAGGATATCAGAGATTGAAGACCAACTCAATGAAATAAAACGAGAAGGCAAGAATAGAGAAAGAAGAGTGAAAAGAAATGAACAAAGCCTCTAAGAAATATGGGATTATGTGAAAAGACCTAATCTACGTTTGATAGGTGTACCTGAAAGTGACGGACAGAATGGATTGAAGCTGGAAAACACTCTTCAGGATATTATCCAGGAGAACTTCCACAACCTAGCCAGCCAGACCACCATTCAAGTCCAGGAGAACACCATAAAGATATTCCTCAAGAAGAGCAACCCCAAGAGTTGCTCTAATCGTCCGATTCACCAGGGTTGAAATGAAGGAAAAAATGCTAAGGGCAGCAAGAGAGAAAGGTCCAGTTACCCACAAAGGGAATCCCATCAGACTCACAGGGGATCTCTCTGCAGAAACACTACAAGCCAGAAGAGAGTGGGGGCCAATATTCAACATACTTAAAGAAAAGAACTTTTAACCCAGAATTTCATATCCAGTCAAACTAAGCTTCATAAGTGAAGGAGAAAGAAAATCCTTTATGAACAAGCAATTGCTGAGAGATTTTGTCACCACCAGGCCTGCCTTATAAGAGAGCTCCTGAAAGAAGCACTGAACAAGGAAAGGAACAACCAGTATCAGCCACTCCAAAAACATACCAAATGGTAAAGACCATTGACACAATGAAAAAAATGCATCAACTAACGGGCAAAACATCCAGCTAGCATCAAAATGGCAGGATGAAATTTACACATAACAATATTAACCTTAAATGTAAATGGGCTAAATGCCCCATTCAAAAGACACAGACTGGCAAATTGGATAAGAAGTCAAGACCCATCGGTGTGCTGTATTCAGGAAACCCATCTCATGTGCAAGATACACATAGGCTCAAAATAAAGGGAGCGAGGAAGATTTATCAAGCAAATGGAGAGCAAAAAAAAAAGCAGGAGGTGCCATCCTAGTCTCTGATAAAATACACTATAAACCAACAAAGATGAAAAGAGACAAAGAAGGGCATTACATAATCGTAAAAGGATCAATGCATCAAGAAGAGCTAACGATCCTAAATATATACGTACCCAATACAGGAGCACGCAGGTACATAAAGCAAGTTCTTAAAGACCTACAAAGAGACTTGGACTCCGACACAATAATAGTGGGAGACTTTAACACTCCACTGTCAATATTAGATCAATGAGACAGAAAATTAACAAGGATATCCAGGACTTGAACTCAGATCTGGACCAAGCAAACCTAACAGACATCTACAGAAATCTCCACCCCAAATCCACAGAATATACATTCATCTCAGCACCACATCACACCTACTCTAAAAATGACCACATAATAGGAAGTAAATCACTCCTCAGCAAATGCAGAAGAATGGAAATCATAACAAACAGTCTCTCAGACCACAGTGCAATCAAATTAGAACTCAGAATTGAGAAACTAACTCAGACCTGCACAGCTTCATGGAAACTGAACAACTGGCTCCTGAATGTCTACTGGATAAACAATGAAATGAAGGCAGATATAAAGATGTTCTTTGAAACCAATGAGAAGAAGACACAACATACCAGAATCTCTGGGACACATTTAGAGCTGTAACTAGAGGGAAATTTATAGCAATAAATGCCCACATGAGAAGTGAGGAAAGATCCAAAATCGATGCTCTATTGTCAAAATTGAAAGAGCTAGAGGAGCAAGATCAAAAAAATTCAAAAGCTAGCAGAAGACAAGAAATATTTAAGATCAGAGCAGAACCGAAGGACATAGAGACACAAAAAACCCTTAAAAAAATCAATAAATTCAGGAGCTGTTTTTTTGAAAAGATCAACAAAATAGACTGCTGGCCAGATTAATAAAAAAGAAAAGATAGAAGAATCAAATAGATGCAATAAAATACAATAAAGGGGTATCACCACTGATTCCACAGAAATACAAACTACCATCAGAGATTACTACAAACAACTCTATGCACATAAATCAGTAAACCTGGAAGAAATGGATAAATTCCTGGACATTTGCTCCCTCCCAAGCTTACACCAGGAGGAAGTTGAAACCTTGAATAGACCAATAACAAAGGCTGAAGTTGAGGCAGCAATTAATAGCCTACCAACCAAAAAATGTCCAGGTCCAGATGGGTTCACAGCCAAGTTCTACCAGATGTACAAAGAGGAGCTGGTATCATTCCTTTTGAAATTATTCCAAACAATACATTTCCCAAATCATTTTATGAGACCAACATCATCCTGATACCAAATACCTGGCAGAGACTCAAAAAAAAAAAAAAAAAAGGAAACTTCAGGCCAATATCCATAATGAACATACATGCAAAAATCTTCAATAAAATACTGGCAAACCGATTGCAACAGCACATCAAAAAGCTTATCCATCACAATCAAGTAGGCTTCATCCCAGGGTTGCAAAGCTGGTTCAACATACACAAGTCTATAAACGTAATCCACCACATACACAGAACCAAAGACAAAAACCACACGATTATCTCAATAGATACAGAGAAGGCCTTCGACAAAGTTCTACAGCCCTTTATGCTAAAAATTCTCAATAAACTAGGTATCGAAGGAACATATATCAAAACAATAAAAGCTATTTATGACAAACCTACAGCTAATACCATACTGAATGGGCAAAGACTGGAAGCATTCCCTTTGAAATCTGGCACTAGACAAGGATGCCCTCTCTCACCACTCCTATTCAATATAGTATTGGAAGTTCTAGCCAGAGCAATTAAGCAAGAAAAAAAAAATAAAGGGTATTCAATTAAGAAAAGAGGAAGTCAAGTTGACTCTATTTGTAGATTGACATAATTGTATATTTAGAAGACCCTATCATCTCTGCCCAAAATCTCCTGAAACTGATAAGCAACTTCAGCAAAGTCTCAGGATACAAAATCAATGTGCAGAAATCACAAGCATTTCTATACACCAATAACGGACTAACAGAGAGCCAAATCACGAACAAACTCCCATTCACAGTCTCTACAAGGAGAATAAAATACCTAGGAATACAACTAACAAAGGATGGAAAGGACCTCTTCAAGGAGAACTACAAACCACTCCTCAAGAAAATAACAGAGGACATAAACAGATGGAGAAACATTCCATGCTCATGGTTAGGAAGAATCAACATTGTGAAAATGGCCATACAGCCCAAAGTCATTTATAGATTCAGCACTATCCCCATCAAGCTACCAATGACCTTCTTCACAGAACTGGAAAAAAATACCTTAAACTTCACATGGAACCAAAAGAGAGCCCGCATAGCCAAGACAACCCTAAGCAAAAAGAACAAAGCAGGAGGCATCATGCTACCTGATTTCAAGCTATACTACAAGGCTACAGTAATCAAAACAGCGATATAGACCAACGGAACAGAACAGAGGCCTGGAGGCAACGCCACACATCTACAACCATCTGATCTTTGACAAACCTGACAAAAACAAGCAAGGGGGAAAGGATTTCCCAATGGTGTTGGGAAAACTGGCTAGCCATGTGCAGAAAGCAGAAACTGGACCCCTTCCTGACACCTTACACTAAAAGTAACTCCAGATGGATTAGAGACTTAAACATAAGACCTAACACCATAAAATCCCTGGAAGAAAACCTAGGCAAAACCATTCAAGACATAGGCATAGGCAAGGACTTCATGACTAAAACACCAAAAGCATTGGCAACAAAAGCCAAAATAGACAATGGGACCTAATTAAACTCCAGAGCTTTTGTACAGCAAAATAAAGAATCATTAGAGTGAACCAGCAACGAACAGAATGGGAAAAAATTTTTGCAATCTACCCATCTGATAAAGGGCTAATATCCAGAATCTACAAAGAACTAAAACAGATTTATAAGATACAAACAACTAAACCCATCCAAAAGTGGGCGAAGGATATGAACAGTCACTTTTCAAAAGAAGACATATATGAGGCCAACAAACATATGAAAAAATGCTCATCATTGATTATTAGAGAAATGCAAATCAAAACCATATTCAGGTCCACCTTATTCTAGTTAGAATGGCGATCATTAAAAAATCTGGAGACAATAGATGCTGGAGAAGATGTGGAGAAATAGGAACACTTTTACACTGTTGGTTGGAGTGTAAACTAGTTCAACCATTGTGGAAAACGGTGTGATGCTTCCTCAAAGACCTAGAAACAGTATTCCATTTGACCCAGCAATCTCATTACTGGGTATATACCCAAAGGATTATAAATCATTCTATTATAAAGACACATGCACACGTATGTTCATAGTGGCACTGTTTACAATAGCAAAGACCTGGAACCAACCCAAATGCCCATCGATGATAGACTGGACAAGGAAAATGTGGCACATATACACCATGGAATACTATGCAGCCACAAACAATGATGAGTTTGTGTCCTTTGGAGGGACATGGATGAACCTGGAAACCATCATTTCAGCAAACTGACACAAGAACAGAAACTCAAACACTGCATGTTCTCACTCATAGGCAGGTGTTGAGCAGTGAGAACACATGGACACAGGGAGGGCAGCATCATACACTGGGGTCTGTTGGGGGTGCCAAGGGAGGGACAGCAAGGGGGTGGGGAGGTCAGGGAGGGATTGCAAGGGGAGAAATGCCAGATGTAGGCAATGAGGGATACAGCCAGGAAACCACATTGCCATGTGTGTACCTATGCAACAATCCTGCATAATCTGCACACGTACCCCAGAACCTAAAGTACAACTAAAAAGAAAAAAAAGAAACACAGCATTCAAAGTTTTGTTGCATGCATTTAAGATGTGATAATTTACCATATAAAAGCAGGATACCAGAACACACATGTATATTTACATAAGTGCACATATATACATATGCATATACACTAAGTGTACATATATGAACAACCAAACAGAAACTAAGAATATTATAATACCTGGTAAAGTCAAATAGGGGTGCTTTTTTCCTTCTAAGGTAAAAACTGTAATATACCATTTACACTGAATTTGTGTGTAAGTGTTTTGAATGAGTGCCACGCGGCATTACTATTTGTTATCATGCTCATGCTTAATAAAATTATTCTTTCATAAAATTGTAAAATCTCTATATTATTATACTTTTTGGGATGACTGTCAATGAAGAGCAGAAACAAATGAAAAATTACATTTATACAATATCATAGCTAACTACAGAAAACTCAGAATGTCCACACTGGTAGAAATGTATGACTCTGAATCTAGATTGATCCTTTTTCTAGAAAGGTGAAGGACTAAAAGTTGTTAAAAATCTGTAAAACAATGAATAACAAGGACAAGTAGAACATGAATTTGTTCCCAAATTTTCAATACTAGTGTACGTGTTAGTATTGGTATTTTATTATTATTACTATTTTTGAGACCAAGTCTCACTCTGTCACTGAGGCTGGAGTGCAGTGGTGCGATCTCGGCTAATTGCAACCTCTGCCTCCTGAGATTAAGCAATTCTCCTTCCTCAGCCTCTGGAATTGCTGGGACTACAAGAGTGTGCCACCATGCCTGACTAATTTTTTGTATTTTTTTAAGTAGAGATGAGGTTTCACAGTGTTAGCCAGGATGGTCTCGATCTCCTGACCTTGTGATCACCCCCTCAGCCTTCCAAAGTGCTGGGATTACAGGCATGAGCCACTGGGCCTGGCCGGTATTGGTATTACTAGAGTGAGAACTCACTTTCACTTTTAAATAAGATCAAGTACTTTACAAAAAATATAAATTAATACATTGATAAATGAATAGGATTGTGTTAGCATACAACGAAATAAAAAGTGACTACATAATTCTATGAATGGCAACTAAGCAAAATCAGGTGTTCATCTATACTTAATAGATGCTAAGGAAAAAAAGTTCCGTGGTACCACATTCTGGTACCATAGCAAGTAAAAATATAAAAATAATTATGTATAAAGATTTAAGAAAATTATTAAACAAAATGGATGACAAAGACCACATGTTACAGACACATAGTATGATCCAATTTTTTTTTTAATAAACTACAAAGAAATATATGAAAATATTAGTAGTGGCCATCTCTAAATATAAAGTAAAATTTAAATTTTTTATTTTTTGCTAGTCTGTAACTTTCCAATTTTCTATAATTAATTTGTATTATTTTGTAATTAGCCTAATTCAAAATGGAAGAAAATCATGGAAAAGCCGGGGCGTATGCTCACCTGACCACACTCTTGCTGCATGCCAGTTCATTGATCAGGAAAGCCAGGACTGAGGCTTTCTGTGCTGGAGTGTGAGCCTGAAAAGCTTTGGTCTTCAGACTTTCAGTAAGCTCGGTTTGTCCACAGTGGGCTTCCATAAATATCTGTAAAATCTCGGAAACATTGTCTCGATTCACACCAACATTCAGCAAATGTTCTCCAAGAGCTGTTTTAGCCTATAAAAGTTTGGCATTTTTATCAGTATTGTTCATAACCATGTATAGCATGAAAACAATAAGATTAAAAATACTTATATTATTTGATCAAGATATTACCGACAAGGGCTTTATTCACTTTTTTTTTTAAATGAAAGAGACGTAAAAATGGTCAATAGTTAAGACAGACAAATATTCAAGTACTTGTATCTTTCTTTTCCCTCTTCAAATCCTTGGTTCCAAGTCAGGCAGGGAGAAGAGTATGCAAATTCATGGGTAGCAGAAGTTTTAAATTACCTATCAAGCCTTCCATGACTATAAAAGCAACATCAACCTTTTCCCAGGTTTTATCTGGACATTTTATCAGGAATGACAGAGTGGGGAGGATCAAAAACAGTATTATGTTTTCTACCTTTAAGGTGTCATAAGTTTTGCTGATGAGGAAAAATAAATAGGGAAACACTGAGGGAGATAGAAGAAACACAGGTGCATCTGAGAGGTTCTCTCTCCACAATATTACCTAGAGCAAAGCTCCCTGGAATGTATACTGTATTTGGAATTAAGATAAATATGGACCTATTGAGGATCCACTGAATAGCACAGGGTCTTAACGTTCTGGTCTGTAGGTGCCTTGATTAGCTTCAGTTACTCAGAGTGATTGAGAGAGAACAAGGCATAATTTCAGAAGGCACATACAAGTTCTAGTGACCTTATGAATTATGCATTCTGTTGTTGATGAATATCACTTAAGTATTTCCTTAAATCACCTTGGTCTTTGCCTACAGCTAGAGGAAAAAAGAGTAATTTGAGAATGGTCTACATTCCTTAAGCTTTACAACCAGGTTTTCTTTGTACACAGTATAACCTGACACAAATCTACATTTAACTTTGTGAGACATTAGGTGGAAAAATTAGATTAATCTACATAATCTTCTGTTAATATGCTAAAGCTATCTACCAATGCACTGACAGCACAAATTTAAAACATTTTATATTTTGTTTTTTTTTACCTTGTATCCTGTAATTAGACCTGGATCACATACAGCAGCTGAGAGGAGCCTCACAAGCAAGTCTTGTACTTCACCCATGCTGTCCCCTATATTTAGCAATCCCTCTTGAAGAACACTCAGGTTTGGAACATCAATATTCACATCAAAGCCCAAAACTTTACCAAAGTTTCGTAAGAACTGCACCACCATGAGACAGTCTGAAAATGTACTTCCAGAGAGAACAAGTCCTGGAATACGAGGCAACTCTGGCAAAGGCTAAAAATAAAATAAAATACAAATAAAGTAAAAATAGCTTAATTTTTAAAAAGCCATGATTTCATATCTTCTAAAGTAAAATAAGCTGCTACCTTTTCTTTTCCTCTTGTATTGTACCAGTAGCTTCCTTTGGGATTCTAAATTATCTGGGGGCATTTCTGTAACCCCCATGGAACTAAGCATAGCATCTTGAAGTAAGTATCATCATACAAGTAAGCAACCATCAATAAATTTTGGTTGAATTCAATTATGAACTTAGATCTTTGCAAAAGAGACACTAATTTTAATCAACTTGCATATTAAATCAATTGACATATCCATATCAACAAAACACAGATTATATAACTGGAGCAAAAATTAAATAAAATACAAACATTTCAAAAGTACTTTACCATGGACATACTTATAGGGCATGTACATCAATTTCTTCTAATGATGATGACGTATTTAAAAATCATACTTTTTTTTGTAGCTTAGAAACAAACAGTATGTATCTGTGGGCTCTGTGGTTGGAGAAAGTGGTACCATCTGTGGCTAATGAATGAAGACAAATAACTAGGTCCACATAACTAGAATCCGTGACCCTGTACATAAACCCAGTTATAATGCAAGTAAGGTCGTTAGGTTTCCCTGTATTTAGGCAAAACATTTATGAGTTTCAGTATTAAAATTAGCTGTCTCTGTTGCTATTTCTCAAATATGCTCACATATTAACATTTTAATGACTAAATTCCAGTATTAGTTGTCACCAACATTTTAAAAATTCAATACATAGGTAATCTAAATTTAAAACATTTTTGCCAGTGAATGAGAGCCTAAAAAAGTACTTTAAATTTTAATTGAAAAAAAAGTGACATAAATATTTCTATTTATCTGAATTGGCCTTAGTTTAAAAATATTTCTCCATCCTGCATTTATTCAGGTAACCAACTGAAGGCTTTTTCTATTAATACTGTATGGAAATACAAAACTACAGATAATAGCTGATCTCATACAAATATTGTATAGTCTACCTGAAAACCAATAATCCTCACTCTCCCTTTTTCTTGAACCACATGAAACATCACATTTCTACATAATTCTAAACATTTACATAACAAAGCTAAGCTAATAAAAATATGGCTCAAAATGGACTTACATACTTGATATAGTACATATGAATTTAAATGAATATAAAAGATACAAGAAAATGAAGCTCACTTAGGATTTAGAAAGCTTGATCAATATGAGCTTATTAAATGTGTTAACTAATTTATATACCCATTCTCTGCTTAGGAAAATTTAAACATCCAAATGACTAAAACTACTAACTATATTCTCATTTTTATTTAGAAGCATTTATGCTAAGTAAATAGAATGTTAATATAGTTCAATCCATTCTAGGATACTAAAAGTTTGCTTTAAGCACTTTAGAAAAGAGCTTACATAAATCAATAGACAATAATTACTTGCATATCATTTGAATATTGCATAAGTACATAGCCTACTAATGAAGTATAATAATATAGAGATGAAATGCATTATTGATATTTTTCTGGAAGTACCATCTTCTTAACTACAGTCAAAACATAATTGATTTCTACTCAAAAGTATATGAAATTATGCTGGTTGCCAAGATTACAGCAAGCTTTCTAAATTTATACTTTTATATTTCAGCAACATTACATGTCTGTGAAGCACTATGGAAGACAAAACACATATGAGGTACTTTGGTTGGACACAGTTTCTTGGCTTTCAGGATGATAAACAGCATAGGCTCTGGAGTTTAACAAACTGGAGTTTGAATCCAAATTGCCATTTATTAGTTGTATAATCTTGGGCAAGTTCCTTAACATCTTTTTGTCTCAGTTTTTTCATGTGTAAATGGGAAAAAATACCAACACTAAAGGATTGTATTGAGGATTAAATGACAAAATTCAAGTAAGTGCTTAGCATAGTACCAGCATGCAGTAAACATGTTCAAAGGGTGGCCACCTAAAGCACTGAAATAGGTCAGGCTGGGTGCAGTGGCTCACGCTTGTAATCCCAGCACTTTGGGAGGCTGTGATGGGTGGGTCACCTGAGGTCAGCAGTTCGAGACTAGCCTGACAAATATGGTGAAACCCCGTCTCTCCTAAAAATACAAAAGTTAGCTGGGCGTGGTGGTGGGTGCCTGTGGTCCCAGCTACTTGGGAGGCGTATGATACAACAGAATTGCTTGAACCCAGGAGGCAGAGGTTGCAGTGAGCTGAGATCACGCCACTGCACTCTAGCCTGGGCAACAGGGTGAGACTCTCAAAAAAAAAATTATAAGTAAAGAATAAAAGAAAGAAAGCACTGAAGTAGGTCATAGATTATAAATCCTAATTTATTTAAATATCTGTAGGCATGTGGGAAGGAGTTAAGATTTGTCCATGCCTGGAATCCCAGCACTTTGGGAGACTGAGGTGGTTAGATCACTTGAGCCCAGGAGTTGGAGACCAGCCTGGGCAACAGAAGACCCTGTCTCTACAAAAAATTAAAATAACAAAACCAAAAAACTAGCCAGGCATGATGGCAAGTGTCTGTGGTTCCAGCTACTCAGAAGACTGAGGTGAGTGGATCACTTGAGCCTGGGAATGAGAAGTTGAGGCTTCAGTGAGCTATAATCCTGCTACTGCTCCATTCCAGCCTAAATGACAGAGTAAGACCCTGTCTGAAAACAACCAATCAACCAACCAACCAAATAAACAAACAATAAAATTGCCATTACCTGCATAAGAGATCCAGAGAGGTTTACTGGTAGCTATCTAGGAAAGGCAAATTGACCTAGATTTGGAAATTCACTGCTATAGTTAAAAATGAAAGGCTTTCGCAATAGCAGCTCTGGCAAATAAATCAGGTAAGAAAACTGGAAAAATTAATTAATAAAATGGTGTGCATGACATATAAATTACCTTTTGGTCTGCTAAGCACATGTCTTCATTAGGCTTCTTTAGTTCCTTTGCCATTTCTAATTCTAATCTTCTTTGCTCTAGTTTACGCTCTTTATTTAATCTTTTCTCATCACGTTTTTCTTGCTTCAACCGTTCTTTTTCCTTAAAAAGAAAATAATGTACACATATTCTTCTTAATCATTGTATATGTTGGGATAAACTTAGAATTATATAGCAACAATGTATTATTTTGCTTTTCATTAATCTTACTCTCTGATTTTCAAAATAATCTTGACTGTATATAATTAATATCAATATTAGATTCAACCTAGACTATTCTGTTATTCAAAATTTGTTCAATCATTTGCCAAGTTATAAGAATAAAATACTTATTAATAAAAGCAGGTACTTAAAATGCACATTGGCAACTACATATCTTACTAAATAAAGTTATCAGCACAAATTTTAGTGTGGCTCCAGGAAGCAAAGGATTTACAGCAGGGAAGTGGAAGTAACATGTTTGAATTTGCAAAAGCAGTTCTTTCAAAGCGAATTAGCTAGTCTTAAGATAGCACCTGTGATGAAAGAAAAATATTATTCATCACCATAAACAACGTTTAAAGAGAATGTAAAATCAATTCTGAAGGCAATTTCAAAAGCATTAAAAATGTTTTGGTAATGGCAATAATATGGAAATAACTGACTTGTCTGTTGTAGGGAATGATTTTTTGTTGGAGGAAGTGAAGAGATTTTCTATTATAGTATCATTATCATTACTTTATCATCATATCTCAAATATAGCTCTCATTTATTTAGAGAGACAACAGTAGAATCGTAAGTCAATTCTGACCTACTACTGCACATGTGCCACATATTGCTAATTGGTTTACTTTTGTAAGGCTGATTCCATCTCTTCCTTGATTAAAAGTCTTTTAGTTTTCTATCAAAATAAGGTCTAAGTCTTTACTTTTGAATTCCACACTCTTCTAATCTCACTGCTCACATTTTTTTTTCTGTGTAGGTTTAGAATTTGCTATTCCTCATGGAATATTTATTTCCTTAGTTGCTTATATTGGTTCACGCCAATCAAAAAGTTCATTTTTCCGATCTTGCATATTTAAATCCTAATTAAACACTACCAGTTTCTATTACGTCTCACAGCTCTTAACTCTGATTTTAACATAGCACTCATTGCTTTCTGTACTCTATTACTATTTATGCCCATATTCTAATCATCTCCATTTTAATTATCACTGGTAAGTGAGTACCCTGACTGCTGCTGAAGGGAATTGCTAACAGGGAGAAAGAGAGGAGTGGGAAGGAACATGGGACCAGAGAGTAGAAAAATTGCCAGCAGTTTCAAGACTGGAGTGTAGGTTGCAAGTTGAACAGTTGCTGAATATTATGAGAGCCAGAGGCCAGATCATCAGGGCCTTTTTATATGACATGCACAAGTTACTGTTCATTTTTATATTGCCTCTGAATTTTTGGGTTACTGATTCATGCAGACATTTTGGGAGGACAAATGATAAGGAAGCTTATGTTGACATCAGAAAAGTTCTATAATTAATTTTACTAGTTATAAACCAAAAAGCAGTTTCTGAGGGTCTAACAACAAAAGATAGATATACACAATTAACGTGTAATAGTCCCACAATGCAGGTACAGATTTTCAAATCAAATTATTAGGCAGTATTTTTTTTCCTTTAAAATGATTTGTGAATGATTTATTAAATTCCATACATACAGATTCTTCATTTAGCTTTGATTTACTTCTTAGTTTTCATCTTTCTGACCATCCACTGTCTTTTAAACCTCTTGGCATTTTGTTTTTTCTGGACTCCCCAAGCATTATTCAAAAACTGGACAGCAGCCCTTTTTACTGGTAACCTCTTGTTAGCAAGAGACAGGAACTTATTTACTGTAGTCCTGTTAGTTCCTGGCCCATACATAGAATTATGGATGAAGGCTTGTGCTGTTTGTTGTCTTGCCTGTCTCAGATCTTGGTCTTTCAGCCTTACAGCCAGGTAGCTTTTATTCTGGCTGACAGACTGTATTTTCTGTACTTTAACTTTCTTGGAGTCATTTCCTTTTTCACAGTCTTCATTTTTCTTTTGCAAATTAACTTCTTTTACCTTTCCTGCTACTAGCCCTGACAAAAGGGCAGCAGAGTCACTGGTAGAATAATTTTTTCCCCAAGAATTGAAATTTTGATTCTTAAACACATGAACTGTTGCTCTAAGAACTTTCCAAAGAAGGGAAGATTTAAGTTTTTGGTTCCTCACCAGAGCAATGAATTAGGATCACTAACAGAAAAAAGCATATTAAATATCTCTTACTAATTTCAAAGAAGCTACTGCAAAATTTTCTGCCACACTCATGTGCCACGTGATGTTTTAGTCAATCAAGAATTGAACATACTGCAGTGTCTATGCTATATAGCCTAGATGTGTAGCAGTCTATACCATCTAAGCTTTGGGTATGCTACTCTACGATGTCTGCACAATAACGAAATTGATTAATGACATACTTCTCAGAATATATTGTCATGGTTAAGTGACATGGCTTTACATAGAGCTAACCCAGACCTCTTAATGATTATATTTATAACAACAATTATAAATATAATAATTGAGACTACTAGTTACTAAAGTGTTGAAAATGGTTACTATTACTTTTTAAAAAGAAAGAAAACCCATGTGACACTGATGTTCTCTTCACTGTGCCAACTTCCCACTGGTAGCAATCCTAGAGGTACATACACACTCCATAGATACATGGGCAACAAGCTAGAGTGCACTGAATGCCGTAAGATAGATTATATTCTTGGACTATATGAATTTTAGCTGGTGATACTTTTTTCCAATTAAAAAAGCATAATATGGAATATAATGTAAAGGTGACATTGATATTTATGACTAAATGGAGATTTCCAAGAAATTATAGAAATTGGTGTGACCTTTATCAGTTAAAGACAAACATTTATTACTGTTTACTGTCAGGCATACTTTAATTAAAATGTGTAGTATCTCAATTCAGTATGAATTGTATAGAACTAACATACATTCTGTGATTTTGGTGCAAGTTGACTCTCAAAGAGCGAGAGCTTCCAAGGTCCCCTCAACCACCAACTAATATTTAGAATGCCATATAAACCTGTCACAGTCTAGCTCCACACAAGTTCTAGTCTCACATCTCACAAATTCACAGTGGATTTCCCATGTTCCAGCCACACTGTATGACACACCTGTGTGGAGAAGACAGCACAACCCCTTTGAAGTTACTACTTGGATGATTAATGGTGAATGAAGCAACACCAAAGCCAAGACGGCGTGTACATGAGGGTAAAATGGCTAACATCCTCTTTTGTACCCCACTCCCAGGTCTTGTTTAGTCACAATACTGTACCTCTGTATACGCCATACCTATTGTCTAGAATGCCTAGTTCCTCCTCCTTCACAAAAAGTCTGTATAAAGCCTGTTTTTTTTTTAAATCCTTACCATAACGCCTTCAGACATTTTGTACTTCCTGCTTTTGAGCTTCCATACAACTTACTACAGCATTTGTTGTACTGTGTAGCAACTGTTTGTTTAAAGTTGATCTCTCTCACTCAAGTATAAGCCTCGTCTAGAGGGCAGGGGAAATAACTCATTCACCTGTTTCTTCACGGACCTATTCAATTCTCCCCTGGACACCTAGACAAAGTTTTTAATGATTTTATCTTTCTCTTTGACTCTCAGCCTGTATCAGTCCAACTTTCCTCTCCCACTGGTCTTCATAGTCTAAGTATTGTTCTTACTTCTGACTACAGTTGTGATATGGCTGTAACAGATACATTTGGTATGGATGGTATGGCATATAAAAATATTTGACTATATGGTATGGCATATAAAAACATTTGAGTATTTATAAATTTGCTAAATGATTAATTCTTCAAATGACACAAACTAAAATTAAGGTATCATTTTGAACTGGTCATTAAATGTATTCAATAGGCAATTTTTTCTTCACTTTAAATATTTTACTCTGTGGACAAACATAACAGGTATCTTCTTCCATTTTAGTTAAGAGTATATACAAACCTTGAATCCAAAAGTGGAATTCAATGCATTTAGATTACATTTAGAAATTTTAAAACTATCTAAAATATATTTCTAACATTTACTTCGACATTATTAATTTCTTAGCCATATAACATGTATTGTGATTTGATATGCTTGCAAACAGACAACTCCCCTATAAAAATTAAGCAGATTTATTATCCAATAATTTTGCCAAAAACTAAAGTTTAAAGTGGCGGTGCTACTTTAGGCCAAATATAAAGGCATGAAAATTTGTATAGTACCCTCACTGCTAGACTCAGTATAATGCTCAGAAGAACAATCTATTCTTCCACTTTTAACCTTAGCCTTTTCTTGACAAAGTAAGTTGCCATATTATGAACCTATATCTAATTTCTATAATATTATATTTTGTTGCTCTGCCAGATAATAGAATTTTACAATGAAATTTTGTGATTTTGCAAGGTCAGGCCTTTGATTTGCTAGAGAAAAAAGCGATTAAACCTATCCTAATATGAAAAGAAAGTTAAAACATATTTTACATTAATACTGGTGAAACTTCAGGACAATAAATTAGACTGTCTACAAAATGTAGCTCTAAAGTAGATTTTAGATTAACTATAATTATAAGCAAATTAGCATACATCATCCTAATTTTTTTTTGCCTTTTTCCCTTTATCCCCACCCAGTTTTCCAGATACAGAAAATGTTGAAATAAATATGAGCTCTTGGATTATAAGTCATTTATAACAAAATATCTGTACTTATTTACATTCCCACCAACAGTATATGAGGGTTCCCTTTTCTCCACATCCTTGTAAGCATTCGTCATTGCCTGTCTTCTGTATAAAAGCCACTTTCACTAGGGTAAGATAATGTCTCATTGTAGCTTTCATACACATTTTTTGATGACCAGTGATGTTCAGCACCTTTTCTTATACCTCCTTGCCATTTGTATGTGTTCTTTTGGTTTATTCAGGTCTTTTGCCCATTTTTAACTTGGACTGTCAGATTTTTTTCCTACTGAGTTGAGCTCTTTATATATTCTGGTTATTCTGTACTTACTTTAGATAAACTATCTTTAAATATTATGTAGGATA